AAATGGACGATAAATTAACAGTATATCGGATAGTTAAATACGGTTTATTTCCGTAAATTAAGTTAAGCCTGTAAAACCTTATTACCGTAAATTCTTGCTACCGTATTTTATACGGTAAATTTCTGGCAACCACAGCTGCCGGTATTTTACCGTAAATTGAACACATTTTTATTATTCGCGTTTAAACCTCGTCTGGCTGGAGCTCTTCTCACACTGTAAAAAAAATATTGATGGTTTAACTTAAAAAAGTAAGTAACCTGGTTGCCTTAAAAGTTTAAGTTCATTGAACTGGAAAAAGTGAGTTAATACAATGAAGGAGATTCATTTAACCATCAGAAACTCAAAATTATATGTTATCTGAACTAAATAAATTATTTAAGTTGATTTGACAAAAGAAAAAATATTGTGATTACTACACTATAAAAAAATATTGTTGGTTTAACTTAAAAAAAGTAAGTAACCTGGGTTGCCTTAAAATTTTAAGTTCATTAAACTGGAAAAAGTGAGTTAATACAATGAAGGAGATTAATTTAACCATCAGAAACTCAAAATAATAAGTTATCTCAACTAAATAAATTATTATAAAGTTGATTTGACAAAAGAAAATATGTTGTGATAACAAATCTTGAAAATATTTTTTACAGTGCATATTAGGTCAGCAGACGGAGAGGAGACGGTCTTTTGTGTCTGTTTGAACACATTCGACCACATGAGCGTTTACACTACGAAAGCAATCCGGTCTACTGTGTTTAACTAAAGTGGACAAGCTCAAAACATTTTACACCCCGTTTACTCTTGTATTTAGTGTCGTCCACTTAAAACCAGGTGTAAACAGGGCTAAAACACTCTCACATCTCTTATTTAATTGCAGTTGATATTACAGTTGATATAAAGGTGTAATGCATAACATTTGATCACAAACGGACAAACAATCCCGCCTCAGCATTGGTTGAGGCTGTGTTGGGCCGGCCGGGATGCTCAAACAAACAGAGCAATGTTTTGAAAGCACCACAGAGCCACAGTGTTTACACTTTTATGGCAAAATCAACCTACAAATGGCTTACTTATAGTTGTCTATGCACATTAACATAGAAACACCACACACTTCACCTTTAAGAAAATCTCAGAATGCTTTCTAGATCTCAAACATTTTGAAAAAGGCGTTTTATGTTAAAATATGGTTAGAAGCCGCACAAACCATATGAAATTTTCAGTTTTTACATATGCTGACAGAGGTCGTGTGATGGACAGACTAAACTGCGTGCTGAAAAGTAGGCTACTGGAGTCTCTCAGAGAGTTTAGTTTTAAGTGCATTTTACAGCATTGATTTCCTATGATTACCCCTGCCAATGCTACGTTTATCAAACAGATAATCATTATTTTGATCGCTGAAACCTAATAATGTTGACATTAGGCGTGCAAAATGTGACTGCAGATCGGTGTTCACGATGCATAAGCGTTCTCATATTCCATCATTAAACAAAAATCTACAGTAAATACAATTCGAAAGATTGTTTGATTTGGAAAACCTACACACTTGGACAGTATACGTTTGAACATGTCATCACCCTGCTACAGTTTACACTGCATTCCTTTTTCAAAACCACTTTTATACACCCCGATGTTGATAATTGCCTAGTTTCTCTCAGATCCCTTTCCTGAGGGCACCACTGTTATGCTTTAAAAGACACTTTTATGTGGTGCTTGGCCGGAGGACTGTTTTCTGTATAAATGAAATACAATAAAGACAGAAAGGGTGTTTCTTAAGAGCTCAACATTTTCAAAGTTTCCCTCTCTGCTTTTCACTGGCAGAGCTCTCTTGGAAAAGCTCGAACTGTGAAGATTAAGCGTTCAAATCTGTGTGGTTTTGGGCACCGTTGCCATAATTCAGCAATATCCCAGAAACATAAGCGCGGGGCGAAATCACCAGCGATCCAGGGTGCCCGACCTAAACCACATCGAGCTGGAATCCAGGAAGACCAGACAGTGGTCAAAACCGACACACACATCCACACCCGCACACAAGCTCATGTTCGTTATGCGCGTGGAGACCGTGAACCTGAGATGAGTGGGAAGGAGCCCGGATCTGTCCAAGAGATATTTGGACAAAGAATTAAAAAAAAAGATTGAAGAGAGCCACATTTAGTCTTTTTTCCCCCTTTTGTTTAAAGTTTTACTCCAATCACCCATTCACACTTGTAGATCGCACCCCGAAAACATTTAATCCTGATCTGCTTAGCGTTCACATGACATTGGCATAACTCTAAACCTAAAGGCATAGGGATCTTCGCAACCTGATTGGTCGGCTTTTATGACGTCGTATATTTTGCGACTGAACTTACCGAACATCCAAAACAATGCATTTATAGCAAAATGTTTTGGGTGGATATGGAATGTTTTCTTTGTAAATGGTTAGGAATGAAATTTTTCTTTTCTGAAAAAGATGTCTTTTTTTATTTTAATAGACAAAGTTTACCTCCAAATGTGGCCTTTGTTGTTAACCTCTGTTTGATTATGGGGAAATATCATATACACAAACAAAAATGGGCTAAAGGGAAACCAAATTTTTTTTTTTTTATTTCAGATAGAAATGAAAAATTATTGTGAGTTACTTCTTGGGTTAAAAAATAGTAAAGCAAAACGTACGAGGTCTTTATGTGAAGCTTTTATGTTATTTACTTCATGATCTCATACCGGTTTCTTTTTTTTGGTTTTTGTTTCTTTATTGTATTATTATTTTAATTTATGTTGTATTTTTTTGCTATTTACTGTAATGTATAATTATTTCAATAAAAAAAAAAAAACATCCAAAACAATGCACCACTTGTGGTAAAGTTTGTTTTTCGACAAGCAAAAATAATAAGGCTAGTCAGTAAACCTTGTGTCATTTCCTATTGGTCAAGGTTTATAGGAAATGTTAATTGGAATAAGGTCTGGTTGTTACCTAAATAAGGTCAAGGAAATTTCATTTAAGATACTGCATAAATTTTACCCTGCTAAACATTTTCTATCCAAATTTATCAAAGACATAGATGTAAATTGTTCATTTTGTTTTTTGCAACCAGAAACTGTACCTCATATTTTTTTGGCACTGTCAATACACCAAAAGTTTGAGGTGGGAAGTTTCTAAATTTATAAATAACAAATTGGGATGTAATTTCTTTTGTTATACGAACATGTATATATTTGTTTGTTTGTTTTTCAATATGAAAGGAGCATGGAAAACGAAGCATATATTATTAATCTTTTGATTATTTTAGGCAAATTTCATATTCATCGGTGTAAATTTACTAATCAGAAACTTTTTTTTTCTGTGCTATGTACAGAATTAGAGAATTATATGGTTTCCATTAAGGACAGTACAAATAAAAAAGCTGTTAAAACCATGTATTTGTTGAATACTTTTCAGATTTTGTGAATGAAATGTCAAAGCCTTTTATTGTTTGTTTGGTCAATTTAGTATTGTTTTCATTCAATTTTTGAATTGTGTATTTGTGTATCTTTAACCCTGGCATTTTTTTTATTTTTTGTTCATGTTCTGTAATTGTTGTTCATGCAATAAAAAAAAAAATAAAAACATCCAAAACAATGCTGTGTTCTGGGATAAATGCACTCGTTGTATGTGCGTAGCTACATATTATGGTATTAAAAAAATGTCCTTTTTAGGGTCACATCTTGTTTTTTTTCTCTTTAGTCCGTGTTGCATTCATATTTCAGTCGATCCACACAAGAGTTTGTTTGGAAGTGGACCGAGACTCATCTTTTCAGCGCCTCTGTCCTGATGCATCAGGGTTCAGATGGCAGGGTTCACACTTTTTCAGAAAGAACCGCACTAACAGAGCAATCAAACTAGGGTTTATTTTAATCCAACCAAAAATGCCAAGTGGGAACACACCCGTAATGTCAATTAAAAATGAAATGAACAAAAATATATGGTGATTTTATTCATTATGAAGTGATTGCATCTTTTAGAAGGCTTGGTCAGCTGAAAAGGAATATTATTTCTTTATGATATTAATGTGCAGTGTTCGCAGGAGCATGCATTATAAGAAAGCAAATCACTTTTTGATTTCATGTTGCCTTAAGATTTTAGACTTAACACTATTGCTGGCTTCACATGTGCATTTCATCTGTGTTTACTATAGAGTGCTGTATAATTAGTACTTCTCCATGTGTGTCATGCATACCACAAGACCAGATTTGTACCGGATTTGCTGCTAAATACGGTTCATTTGACCTTATGTGTCTGTCCTGTTACTGTAGAGCCTGGTCTAATAAGGCTTATGCTGCCATCTTTAGGTAGGATGCTATGCTGTAATTCCTCTATATTGAGTTAATCTTCCTACATAGAATGATTTAGTCTTACCATGTACGTTTTTAGTCTAACGTTTGAATGTTTTAAGGGAAAATTTAACAATCACAATGGTGTTCAGTAAAAATCATTAAAGATTTCTCAGAAAAACTACTAAAAGCCCTTTTTATAGCTAAAAGAGTATCAAACAGAGGAAGCAAAACACTTGTAGAAGCAAAACATTTAAGCAGTTTATCGTTTAGAAAATGTTCAGGTCTTAGAAACACAATACTGTAGGCTTTATATGGTTTACACTCTTCCATGCTTACAAATGCCATTTTTTTAACAGTAAATCTGAACCTAATGACCATATTCATGCGCCATGGTATTTTTTAAGATACCCCTCCCCCACTTTGTATTAGTCTTTTATTATGAAATACTACCCTGTCAAAATCCCACCTACGTTTACTGTTGAACTAAACTTATAATAATGTTCCCGTCTTATTTTTTACATGCCTTTCAACCGAGTTAACACATTTTATTGTAAAGAAACCTGCTGTAAATTCAAGTGTATGTTACAGACGGCCACCATATGCTGCAGCTGTCTCTCTGTGTCGGCCTCTTTGTTTTGGACCAGCGTCTGTCACTCTTCCGCGTCGACCAATGAGAGAACGCCTTACTTAACGCATTCGACCAATGAGCGTTGAGCTTTGATCTAATGCGCCAGTTCCGAGACGCGCGCGCACGATAGCCGTCGAGCTATTTCTACTTTTACCCGCCTTCGCAAAACCGCTTATTTGCGCATTTTAGCAGTTTTGTCTTTATTTATCCACAAGATTCGATGTTCAAACTTCCAAAAAAATCATTTTTTGGATGTAACAGACAGCTGTGTTTGTCGTAAAACCCCAAGGAGGACATTCAAACAGAAGGCGCGAGCCGGTTTGACGGTTCTCAGCGCGAGGCATCTTTTACTTTCATTTATTCTCGTTCGGGGCTTACACAAGTTGCCACTGCACCTTTAAAACAGGAAAATAAGTAATTATACTTGCATTTTGTCAAAGTCAAACCCGTTTTTCATACTGTACTCTGGTAAAGATAAAAAGCATGGCGCAATTTCACGAGGATCCGGCGCTGCTCACTAAAGAGAAACTGAAGAGTGAGTTACTGGCTAATAATGTTCCTTTACCGAGCGCTGACAGCAAGAAAGACGTCTATGTTCAGCTGTATCTGAAGAACCTGACCGTGCTCAACAAGAAGAGCCTCTCTCCTCCCGCTCAGGACACTTTCTCCAGTGATGAGGAGATGACAGCGCCAGTGGTGTCCGACAGGAGCCGCTCGGGGAGGGTGAGAGCTCAAACATTAGTCTTATGACAATCAAAAGCATGCTTGTGCATAATTATGATGCTGGAGCAGATGGGAATCAATATATTTGAGACAATTATTATAATCCTATCTATAATTAAAATTATGATCATGCTAATAATTATGCTGGTTTTCACCATAAAATATTTTATTTGTCTCATTCAAATAACGTTATTTCACATATATTTGTAATTGCTTTTTGACCCAATAACCATTTCACAGTAGTCTACCAAAATAAAACATGTTAAAGGAGTAGTTCACTTTAAAAAAAACACACAAAAAAAAAACTTTTGCTGATAATATACTCTACCCCCATGTCATCCAAGATGTCCATGTCTTTCTTTCTTCAGTCGAAAAGAAATTAAGGTTTTTGATGAAAACATTCCAGGATTTTCTCCATATAATGGACTTCAATGGGGACCAAACGGTTCAAGGTCCAAATGAAAGTTTCAGTGCAGCTTCAAAGGGCTTTAAACGACACCAGACGATGAATAAGGGTCTTCACACGAATCATGACTCGAAAAAAGATTCGTTTGTTTTGATGAACGAGTTCGAACAGGAGAGTCACGAACGCGCATCACAGAACAGAGCAAGGCGAGCATTTGAGCTTATAAATCCTAAACTTTTTTATTTATTTTTTTAAATGATAAGACCCTTATTCATCGTCTGGTGTCGTTTAAAGCCCTTTGAAGCTGCACTGAAACTCTCATTTGGACCTTGAACCGTTTGGACCCCATTGAAGTCCATTATATGGAGAAAATCCTGGAATGTTTTCATCAAAAACCTTAATTTCTTTTCGACTGAAGAAAGAAAGACATGGACATCTTGGATGACAGGGGGGTGAGTAAATTATCAACAAACGTTTGTTTTAAAAGTGAACTACTCCTTTAATAATAATTGTTATTTCATACTCAATAATCGTATGATATTAATATTTTCCTTAACCTCCAGAAAGCCACAAGAAAGACAGACAGAGTTCGGGCTGAGGAGAACGACTCTTTGGGATTGACTGATGAAGAGTTGAAGGTTCAGCTTCTGAAGTATGGAGTCAATACAGGACCAATTGTTGGTTAGTATTAAGGTTTTCCACAGCCTCATTGTGTTTGTGCATAATCGCTCAATATGAATGTCCTATATACGTGTAGGTTTGCATTCTATTCTCATTTGTCATGTTCTGCATCTCAGCAACTACACGTAAGGTGTACGAGAAGAAACTCCAGCAGTTCCTGGAGCATCCGCCGCTGGAGAATATCCTTCCTGAACCCGAGACCGCGATCCCAGAGGCCATCACCATCAAAGCAGACGGAAACCAGAACGGCAACACGCATTCAGCTGAAGATCAGTACAGCGACAAAGAAGAAGGTAAAGCAGGGATAATCGAGTCAAGTAGCCAAACATCCAGTCTGCGTGCATTAAATAATTACTCTAAATCTGCCCACACCCTGTTCTGATTGGCTGGAATCTTATCGGGTCACGTCTGGTTAGGACACGGTGTAACACACTTTGAAGTCATTCAGAACACATAAAGCAGAAATATGCGTCTCGTTGCGTGACCAAAATGTGTTCGGCTCAAAATATCAAACATGTTTGATCTCATCAACTGGATTGAATCAGAGTCTGAACCTACAAATCTAGAGTCTGCTATTTTCAGTGAAATCTGTCAACTCTGACTGACCAAAATCTGCAGGCTGGCTTTGATATTCGCCAACTAGTGTTGACAACTGCATCCAACTTGTATATCTGCCAAAAATATGGGCATATGCTGTGTTATAAGTCGTGAGCTTTAAAGGGTTAGTTCACCCAAAAATGAAAATTCTGTCAGTATTTACTCGCCCCCATGCTGTTCCAACCCCGTAAGACCTTCGTTCATCTTCGCAACACAAATTAAGATATTTAAGATATTAAGATCGCTCCTGCATACTAGTCCATAGGCTTCTTGAGGGAATGGCTCTTGCTGTCTCCGAAAATTCATTAAAGACATCGTTAAAATAGTCCAAGTTACTACAGTGGCCCAATCTTAACTTTATCAAACGACGAGAACACTTTTGTGCGCAAAAAAAACAACAAAAATAACAACTTTATTTCAACTATTGGTTTATTTCTCCCTCTGCGCGAGTCAGGTTACTAGTTTAATAGCGTAAGCTTCTGTTATTGTACGTCACACGCATCACACACATGACCAGCGTCGGCCAATAGTGAGCCTACGTGTGACGTAGCTTTACGCAATCACACTACGTTAACTGACTTACAGGCTCATGGAGAAGGAAGTGAATAGTTGAAATAAAGTCGTTATTTTTGTTGTTTTTTTGTGTTCTCGCCGTTTGATAAAGTTAAGATTGAGCCCCTGTAGTCACTTGGACTATTTTAACGATGTCTTTAATGACTTTTCGGGGACAGCAAGAGCCATTCCCTCAAGAAGCCTATGGACTAGTATGCAGGAGCGATCTTAATATCTTAAATATCTTAATTTGTGTTGCGAAGATGAACGAAGGTCTTACGGGGTTGAACAACATGAGGGTGAGTAAATACTGACAGAATTTTCATTTTTGGGTGAACTAACCCTTTAAGTCATCTATTAACCAGCTTAAATGATGTTGCTTGTCAAGGAGAGGTGTGCTGTTATTTATTTTACAAAGCTATCAGAGTTTGCATGTGACAAGCACTTTATCAAACATAAACATTTAGTTGTGGCAATTGAACACTTAAAGTTAAATATTTATGGTCATATTAAGTCTTCTTTTCACCAATTTTGCTCTGCATTTGATTGTCAGAAATTGATCCTGTACCTGAGCCGGTTCCTGTAGTGACGAAGCCCGTCCGGAGCAGAGGAAAGACCCCGGTCACCACCAGGACCAGCAGCCGGCAGCGCTCTAAAGTACAGCCTGCACTTGCACAGGAAAAATACAGTTAGCATCACCATAGGGTCATCAGGCCTCGGTTTATGGTGCAAAGTCTCTTACCATTAGAGTTTTCTTCTATTCAGCAGGTTGTGGAGGAGACGGCGTCGGCCACTGAGGAAGCGTCCGTCGACGGAGGAGATATACTGAAGGAAATCTTCCCCAATGAACCCGCCACACCAACCGGAATAATGTGAGTGTTTTTTATTCACAAATGTTTGTGAACTGAAACTGAAACATTTTATTTCATCTAGTTGCCAAGGCAACATTTCTTATTTTTATTTATTTTAAAAGGGATTTTTTTAAACACTTTATTATTTAGTATTGTTAAATAATACAATACTCAAGTAATATTAATTAACTACATGTACTTACCATAGAGTTACGCTTCGCTTAGGGTTGGGTTTAGTGTTGGTTACTTGTAATTAGAGCCAGACCGATATATCGGCAGACCGATATTATCGGCCGATATTTGGCATTTTCCAAACTATCGTATCGGCAGTTATAATGACCGATAAATGAATATTTCAAAAATAAAATAAAAACGGACAAAACACGCTTGAACCATGTCATGATTGTTGGAGTTGCATAGTTTGTCCACCAGAGGGCGCTCTACACCGTTCCTGTTGGCAACACTCGTTGAGTTGTTTACGAGACATACATTGCTTGAATACCAATTAAAAGAACATCCCCATCAGTTCTCTAAACTCAAATAAGCAGGACAAAATTTGTGACTATCATGTCCAGCTTAAAAAAAATAAATAAAATATCGGCCGATATATCGGATTTTAAAACCCCAAAATATTTGTATCGGTATCGGCCTTCAAAATCCTTTATTGGTCAGGCTCTACTTGTAATTATGCTTATTTTACTGTTATTACTATAGTAATTACGTCACCTTAAAAATAAAATGTTAACAAAACTAAAACTGAATTGAAACTTAGTATTTAAAAAAACTATATATATAAAAAAACAATCAAAAAAAGCCCAAAACTATTAAAAATGACATAAAAGCACAACAAAACTAACTAAATTAACTACAATTGACATTAATACAAAATATGACAATGAAAAACTGATATTAATAATCTATAATAGTATCTCAATGATCCTAAAATAACACTGATACAAATTGTCCAACTGTTTTATGATTTACCAAAAAATAAATGAATCTTTGTTTCTGTATACCCCTGACATGTTTGATTATATGTGACGTGTTTATTTGTTTATTTATATGTATATAATTAATTGAACCCACATCTGTCCGATCAGGGCCACATGTCGGAGGCCGATCCACGGTGCGGCCGGGCGTCCGGTGAAGCCGCTGAACCTCTGGTCCGAGGAGTCGCTCCTTCAGCAGAACACTTACACCGCGACTAAATCCTCCGTCACAGACGTCCGCAGTGCAGCTCCCGCCGCTCGTCCCGCTCCTCGCCGCTGGTTCGCTGTCTGGCTGAAGCTTCTGGTGTTCATCGCACTGGCTGCGTCTCTGTACTACGCCTTCCAGAACGTCACCGCCGATCAGATCGACTCCTGCCAGCTCTATGTCCAGAACAATCTGATCACACCCATCATCAATTACATGAATCTGGATTACCAATCAGGAGGCGGCGACAGCAAGTGAGCGGCAGATCAAGCCGAGCCGCTTCAGCATGCATTACCGTCAGACTGATTTTCTAGTCATTTAAGGAGCAACGCATCGGCAGGGTTTGGGGAGGGGGGGATTCTGGTTATTTCAGTTTGACCTAGCAGTCACTTCTGAATAGACTTGTGTTTCAAGTAGTCTTTAAACTCTGTGTGTTTTAATCTTGCTTTGGGATTTTACGGTTTTTGTAGCATTCGAAGTGTAGTGTTCATTCACGATCGCTAGCAGTGAATCATTCGCCGTTCAGAATCACACATCGAGAGTTTCGGTTCGTTCAAGTGCCAAGATGCGGCCAACACAAGCATAATTCGGTTTCACACACACATCACGGCTCGAAGGGAAAGCCTCAAGCTAAAAAAAATCTACGTTTTCCTGAATAAACCTGGTGAAGTTTATTTTTAGCGTGACTGAATCTGTTGCTAATGAGACCAGAGTGAGAAAATTGTGTTCTTGCATAGTGGGGTGAATCTCACAAGGACATTTCTAGGTCATATTTCACCACAAATAAAAAAAAAGATATCAATATTCATGTTGCGAAATGAAAAAACACATTCTTATTACCATAAGGTAAAAAAGTAATAATTTGTGTTACTGTAATTGTGGCATTTTTTCAAATTAATATAATAATTAACTTATGGGCACAACTTTTTTACTTATAATTGGCATAAGTTGAATTCAGTTTAAGTACAATCACTGTGCGGTTACTTAAAATTAACATTTCAGGGATTACATTTAGTTACATTATTATTATTTTTGACTTTACAGTAATGAAAATCGGGTGGAATGTGCTTGATTGAATATATTTTGAATAATTGTTGCTTTTGTGGTGAAATATGACTTTGATATTCGGTATGTTTGACGGTTTTCGTGAGCTTCATCCCGTAGCTTTTGTTTAAATGACTTGTAGCACTGAAATGTTCAAGCTAATGGCACTACCAGCTCAGATAATGTCTGGTTTTAGAACTAGACTTTTTAGATTGATATTTGTTTTTTATCCAGAGCTTGAAAGAAAATGTGATCTTATATGAAAGTCTCGTGTAGTAAATAACGCTTTATTTCTGGTAAGAGGCAGTTTTATTTTTTTTATAGGTAATGGTGGTTTGTTAAATGTGTTTGTGATGTTTTCATAATGTGATGTGGCACTGTAGCCGATATTAAAACCCATAATGAGTCCGCCGACACTTGCCTGCTATTGACTGTAATCAGACGTCTGTGATTCATCTAAACTGAATTAATTTCTTAACTGTGATTTTTAAAAACAAAGTACTAAGTATATATTCATTTCATTCGAAAACAATAGGCTACATTTGTGATGCATCTTAATTTGCAGGGGTTTGTTTTTATATTTTGCTACTCAATTTAATCACGTTTTAACTGCAATATTTTTCTAACGTCTTCTCAAAAGTTAAAAACTTTTTTTAAAATGCAGTGGGTTACTTTTAAATAAATGTACATATACCGACTCCACTAACCATTGACTAACATCTTAGTTTTGTACTGCTGTGTCAAATGCAGTAAATGGTATACAAGTCCAATTTGCACTTTGTATTTAGGCAGCTATTTGTGGAAAACTGGGCATATGGAATGATTTGAATATTTATCCTTGATTCAAAACAAATCTGTTGTGAAATAAAAGGAAACCATTGAGATCCCATTGAGGTGACCCTTCATTGTGTATTTACAGCAAGGTCAGTTCAGTGACTGACACACACACACACACATGACATTCCAACAATAGTATTCAGGAATGTTTCCATTTTTACAGGAGATTTGACCTTTAGACACATCATTGCACACAGGAACTAGCAAACCTTTATAATCGATCATTTTTCTTATATACATGTTCAAAATATATTTTGCTGCTGTACAAGAATAATGTACATAAATATGTCTCGCACACAGTAGAAAGACATCAGACGGTGACTTTGAGATGAAAGGAATCTCTTGCGTAAGGAAAGCCCCGCCCCTCTTTTTTGACCTGTCTGGTCGAGCGAATCTACTATGGCGAAGGCTTGGCTCATGAATATTAATTACGCAATGTGACGTTATCTGATTGGCGGTCTGATTTTGGTGTTTCATTAGCGGGGAAAAAAGATTTAAAAAGGCCATAGACTACTCAAAACAAAAAGTAAAATGTAAAGGAAAATTAATTGTATTTTATCATATCCTACACAGTACGCAGACTATATAGTAAATTAAAAACAAAATAATTTGAATAAATGTAAAATGATTTTCTTTTATCACTGGCATTGCTCCTAGCTCATTGTTTACTAATATTGCTATGTACAAATATTGATACATACAAAAAATATGAATAATCACTAGTCAAGACTTCCCCATAGTGGGGTTTGTAAAGTAGTAGGCGTGGCTTGCAGTGACGCATCACTTCCGTTTTCCGCTTCAGTCTTTCGCCGCTCTCACTCACCGCTCGGTCTCTATGCGCACCGGTAGAGGAGAGGACGGAGGCGCCATTTTGCGACAACTTCACTAAAGTAAGAGTTTTTCCCACTTAACAACACATTTTTCTTGGTTTTCACACACATATTAAACCGTCGTCTCACACTTACTTCAGATACATACATCGTAACGTGTTAAATGATTTAGTTTAGTGTTATTCTCATCTCAACGTCTTCCTCAAGAGCGCAGGGCCGTTGACCTCTCCATAGAACCACATGATGAGAGGACAAATGATGACTCGTTTAATGGACACATTAGCTGTGTTCACTGCCTAACCAATGTTTGTTCTTTATTCAGGTCCACCATCAGACATGTATCCGACCTCACTAACCCAACTGGCCCGGGGGAACCCCTTCAGCGCCCCGTTGTTCACACTGCAGAAAACCGCCGAGCCCGAAACAGACAGTCCCGTACAGAAGCGCAGGCTCGCGGCAGCCGCAGTGGCCGGTAAGACCCTCGGAGAGCACAAAAAAACTATTTTTAATTCTTAAAATTGTTTTTAAATGGGTCCAAAGGGGGTTGAAGTAAGATAGACCGCATAACCCATCATACTTCTCTGTTTATTATTGTATTAATGCTTGAAATGGATCAGAATGGGAAATATGAACGTTGAATAAAAGGTTAGAATACTAAAGTTAGTTAGCACTGTAATGACTAACTTAGATCCAGCTGTAGTTTAGAATTTAGATTACTAGGAAGTTCCCTTTAAATGCTTTAGTTACTGCATTTGTAGATTGTGTGGTTTATTTAGTGTGATTCAAAGTTGCAGCTTGCTGTGTGTTTCTGGCCTTGTTGCGTTCATGGAGGGCAATGAAGGACAAAGATGGAGAACGCGTATCAAAGCTTTCGGAGGACGTTTTTACATTTTAATGAGTCGGGTTGATCTGACAAATGTTAAAATGGTATTGAGCCGGTCAGTGGACATGATGTTCTTTAGTTAAAGCGTCCTATTCTGCACATGACCTGTGTGTGTACCGCTATTATCAATGACGGGCGATCTGATTGGCTCCAGCTCTCAGCAAGGCGCGTTCTGATTGGCCTTCACTCTGAGGAACACGTCCAAGTCCGGGATCGTGTATCGTTTAGTATCTTGCCCATAATTTACTTGTACATTTGAATACCCTTTTGCATGTTAGCAGTGCCTCTCCCTCATAGGCTTGTATAATAATTGTATGTAGATTAAGGTTTAGTAGAAACGCTTTATTTGGTTTGCTTAATCGTTTTCCAGAAGTAATGAGGTCGACCACAAACTGTATATCATTTTTGAGTTTGTAGGTTAGTGTAGTTTTGTATTCCAGTGTGAACGCTACGTTGTTGGCCGAACCGAACTACAGTGTAAACACCCTTAAAGATTAAAACCCCCTTGGCATAGGCTAGCTCAGGGTTTGGTCCTAGTGCAGAATTTAATTCAAACCCTAATCAAACACACCTGAACTAGCTAATCAATGTCTTCAGGATTGCTATAGGCAGGAGAGGGTTTTTTTTCAGTGTTGGAGCCAAATCTGCAGGACAGTGGCTCTCTAGGCCTACCTCAGGGCTAGCTCATGTCACTTGGTCTGATAGCAGGTGAAAGGTAACGCTTTAAAGTCCAGCGTGGCGGTTTTCCACTAACCCCCAAACAAACGTCTCAGACTTTGTGTAGATGAATGTGATCCCGTGTTTCTCCTCAGAGGAAGACAGCTGTGAGTTCGGCTCACAGAAATACTTTGTCCTCTGTGGCTTCGGAGGAATCCTCAGCTGTGGCACCACACACACGGCTGTAGTGCCCCTCGACCTGGTCAAGTGCCGAATGCAGGTCCGTGTGTGTGCAGTCGCCCGAGTGTGTCCATGTGACCCCAATGCAACCCTTCATCAGCATGTTAAGTGTTGTGACGCATGAGCATGTGTGTGTGTGTGTGTTGTTCCCCCCACGTCACAGAGACGGGCGATAGCTGCGAGTTCGGCTCGTCGAAATACTACGCCCTCTGCGGGTTTGGGGGCATCTTGAGCTGTGGTATTACACACACGGCCGTCGTGCCCCTCGACTTGGTGAAGTGCCGTCTCCAGGTCTGTACTCACCTCCATCCCCTTCATCAAATGAATGAGATGGCATCCGTGGCGAAGGGGTCACTAACACTTTTGACGTGATTTGGTTAACCAGCTAACAAAATCGTATTATTTGTGATTGAGATTTTTTTTAATTGGATGTGCAATATCATTCTGCAGAAACGGTTTAAAATATGATATGAAAGACGCCATGTTTTCTTATACTATGCATGGGTGCGTTTCCCAAAACCTTAGTTGCTAACTTAGCAAGCAACTTTGTTGCAGTGTTAATTTTGTCAGCAAATTTTGATTTAGTCTTAGTCTTTTGAATAAAATGCCATTTAGTTTTAGTCTTATTTTAGTCATCTGAATTGTTTTAGTTGACGAAATTCAATATGATTTTAGTCGACTAAATCTACAGTAAATTTATTCGACTAAAATATAATGGGTTTAGTTAAATTGTAATGCATTAATTTAGAAATGATCAAAAATGTACGAACCCATATACTCCTGAAGAAAACATTTATTAACCTGTTAATATGAATGATTTAAAAGGTTGAACATGCAATACAGATTTAACTTTAACTAAAATATCTTAAAAAGAAATAAAACCACTTTTCCTTTTGTGTTTTCAATGAATGATTTATGCATTCTTTATAACTACTCGCATACATCATTCTTTTTTCTTTCAGGCAGACATATTTATTTGTATTAATGAAATATAATTAATTTTTATTATATTAAAGCTATTAACAAACGGTGAATGCTTTTCTCTTTTTCTTTTGTTGCTTGATCAATATTAAGAACACGGATCGAGATCGCATTATGTTTATTGCCACTATCACTTTAAGACGCCGCGGATCCAATTGCACTGATGCTCATCCGATACACTCACAACTGTTTAAGACATAACCGACATAGTTTACATGAATGCTCTCCAAAACGGACGTTTAGACAATGTTGTGTGTATTTGTCCATTCAGACATGAAAGAGAGCTCAGTTCAGTCCTCGCGCACTTTATAAGTGTGAGTGCGTGATATTCATATTTTTTAACGTTTTATGAGATAGATCAGCACGTTACAGTACAAATCTGCCACGCACGCAGGACATCAGTTCTGACTGGATCACTTCACAAATCGTCACTAACATTTTCGTCTAGTTTTTATTCGTTGACGAAAATGTCTTTAGATTTTCGTCGTAGTTTTTGTCATTCAAAACTATTTTTTATTTAGTTATCTCGTTTTCGTCTGTGAAAAAATGTCGTTGACGAATAATTTTCGTCATTTTCGTCAACGAAATTAACACTGCTTTGTTGGTCACAGGGCAATTTAGCAGGTTAGCAACTATGTTTTTTCGGGAAACACACCCCAGGATGTTCAAGCCGCTCTTTTCCATGAAATATATGCAAAACTAAAGATCTTTTGAATTTCATGGGGGGAAAAAATGCAATTTTGGAGTTATCAATTTCTCTAAATTGATCTGTGACGCTCTGCCACTGATGTTATCAAGTAACATTTTGGTTTACTTTTTGATTTATGTATCTTGTTCCAGCATGTAAATACCATTTTTGAAGTGAAACCATTAACCGTGTTCCTTCATAACCAGCCGGTTCCTGGTGAAGTTCCTGTGTTGGTGTTTCTGACTCTTATTGTAATAACACCGAATGCCTCGTTTAGGTGGATCCTGCTAAATACAAGAGCATCTTCAATGGGTTCTCCGTCACCATCAGAGAGGACGGCATGCGTGGGTTGGCCAAGGGTTGGGCGCCCACCTTCATCGGATACTCCATGCAGGGGCTCTGCAAGTTCGGCTTTTACGAAGTGTTCAAGATCTGGTATGGTGACCTGCTAGGAGAGGTGAGATGGATTATGAAAACGCATGTATAGATCATGCTGTCAGTGTTGCATCAAAGGCTATATTCCCAGAAACCCATTCCTCCATTGAGAAAATATGAATGAATCGATGAATCACTCTAAGATGTTCAGCTATCTTAAGGGTGAACAAAGCTTCAGTGGGGTCGTAGTGTGTTGTGTTGGTAAAAAAAACAAAACAACAGCAGCTTTTTACCAACATTTTGGCCTTGGATCAATAAATAAATACATTTTAAATCTATGAACCATTTAAAAATGATTAACTAAAATTCTGACAAATTATTTGTAATTTTATTTAGGGGAAGGGTTTTGGCTTTTAAGGTTAGGCGATAATTTTGAGTGTTTTTGTAATTGTTGAAAAACTAAAATGAATTTCGTTTAAAAATTAAGTAATTAATTGCATCGCCCAAGTTTGTATTCATTTGAAATATTTGTTTAGATGGCTAATAAGTGTTTTAGGGATGGGCAACGATTAATCGCATCCAAAATAAAAGTTTGTGTTTGCATAATATATGTGTGTGTGGTGTGTATAATTAATTTGTATATATAAATACCCACACATGCATGTATATATTTAAGAAATATGTGCATGTATATATTTTATGTATATTTATTCACAATTAATATTATATATAAATATTTGATATATTAATAACACATTTTTCATAAATATATACATGCATGTGTGGGTATTTATATATACAAATTAATTATACACACCGCACACACATATATTATGTAAACACAAACTTTTATTTTGGATGCGATTAATCGTTGCCCATCCCTATAGTAAATTACCTTTTATGAATTTGAACCTATATTCCATGTAGCCATTCTCCTCAAAATTAAGCATGGCAATAACCAAATGAACATTTTAGAAGCTGTGGCTGGGTTAAACATATTGATTTCTCGTTTTCAGTCGATGAATGAACAAAGCTTTGTTACTTCTGATATGAAACAGTCTCGGCTTTCAAATTCTCTCAATTTTATCATGAAATTCAATCAATACAGCGTCAGTCTTAGTCAGCTAGAAAAGCATTTTGCATGATAAATGCACTATTGCATATTCATTTTATTCTTATTTTACCAGTCTTTTGTTTAAATTAGGGCTGGACAATGATTAATCGCATCCAAAATAAGAGTGCGTTTACATAATATATGTGTGTGTGCGGTGTAATTATTTTGAATATAAAAATTCACACATGCATGTATATATTTAAGAACAATTTCTTATTAATATATAAAATATTAAGATTTATATTTAATATAAATTTTGTATTAATGTATATACGTGCAAATATTTCTTAAATACATGCATGCGTGTGTGTGTTTATATATACAAAATAAGTACACGCACATTATGTAAGCTCAAGGCAAGTTTATTTATATAGCACATTTCATACACAGTGGCAATTCAAAGTGCTTTACATGGAAGAAATAAAAATAATCAAAAGAAATCAGAATAATTAAAACAGTTTAGAATAAAAAAAATCATTATAATAAAAATAAAATACAGTAAATAATTAAAATAATAAAATAAAATACAGTAAATAATTGAAACAATTTAGAAGTACAATAACAGTCGGACGAACAGTGGCTCATTCAGTAAATGCCATCAATATAAATAAAAACAGTTAAGAGTAAAAATAAAATAAAGTAATACCCCTATCTGAGATAGAAATCAGTTAATTTTTAAGTTGGTATATATGAAGAGTTCAGATGCAAAAGCCTCTAAATGCCATTTGAAATTTTCTTCTTTAATGAATAATGATGATTTTTTTATCAAATTTGTATATTTAAGTTCAGTAATTTCACTTAAATAACAATTAATAGGTAATTATCATTGCCATTTAAGTGAAATCACTGAACTTAAATATACAAGCTTGATAAAAATCATCATTAAAGAAGAAAATTTCAAATGGCATTTAGAGGCTTTTGCATCTGAACTCTTCATATATTTTTCCCTTAGTCTTCATGTTCTGTACCTGATGCGTACCACAGTTATCCGTTATTGAATTGAATCGTGAGATTATAAAGTGTGTTAGCCGATGCTCATGTGTTCCTCCGGTCCTCTCGCAGGAAAACTCGTACTTGTGGAGAACCTCGCTGTATCTGGCTGCTTCTGCCAGCGCTGAGTTCTTCGCAGATATGGCTCTGGCCCCTATGGAGGCGTGTAAAGTGCGTATCCAGACTCAGCCTGGCTATGCCAACACCCTGAGGGAATGTGCCCCCAAGATGTACGCCGAGGAAGGGCTCTGGGCGTGAGTATCCCGCACTTTAAACCCGATCAACACGCTCCTTAGATCCACCTCTGGGGAGTTTCCCCGGTCCGGTTCTGCTCTCTCTCTCTCTGGGATCAGCAGGATCGGGCCGGCGGCTCCCGGCAGCTTTACCGCTGCACAGTTGGAGGTGCTTGAGTCATTGGCGTGTGAGATCAGTCTACCTGCTTACCCAGCATCCTCTCTGCCCTGAACCTACTCAGGAAAACACCAGGGCAGAACCGCTGGAGAGCAGACAAACTCTTCAAATAACCCAGCAAGCCCATTCGTTGGCTCTTCGGGGAGGTAATGAGTGGTGTGAATGTTCTGGCAGGTTCTACAAAGGTGTGGTTCCTCTGTGGATGAGGCAGATCCCGTACACCATGATGAAGTTCGCCTGCTTCGAGCGCACCGTCGAGCTGCTCTACAAGTACGTGGTGCCCAAACCCCGCAGCGAGTGCTCCAAAGGCGAACAGCTGATCGTCACGTTCACGGCCGGGTACATCGGTAAGGATTGATAACACTTTACAATGAGCAATACATTTGTTAGATTGTTTATTAAAGCCGTTAAATCTATTAAATGATAGTAACAGATGCAACTTTTGATTTTTAATAATGTATTCGTAAATGTTGAAAAATATTAGCTAGTTATGTTAACAAAGGGAACCGTATTGTAAATGGTTTACCATTTTAAATTTGCTCATTTTATCATTATTTACATTTTAAATAAATATTCTTCTAAATTATCATTTGAAGTATATATTATAATTGGTGTATATGATTTATTACTGTATTTTTTTTTTTTTTTAAATTTTAATTTATTATACATTTTATTATTGTAAATTTATTTTATTCTGTTTGATACTAGGGCTGTGCAAAAATTAATTGCGATTAATCGCATCCAAAATAAAAGTCTGTGTTTATATAATATATTTGTGTGTGCTGTATGTAATTATTTTGTATATATAAATACCTATGCATGCATGTATATATTTAAGAATTATTTGTGCTTAAATTCTGTATATATATATATATAAATACATGATCTATATTATATAAATATGTTATATATGAATAACACATTTTCTTAAATACATACATGCATGTGTGTGTGTTTATATATATATATATATATATGTATATATATACAAAATAAATATATACAGCACACACAAATATATTATGTAAACACAGACTTTTATTTTGGATGCGATTAATTGCAATTAATTTTTGCACAGCCCTATTTAATACTAAATTTGTTCATTTTTATGCTATATTATATGTCCTTAATGTCTATTAATTTCTATAATAATCTAATTCTTTGTAATTTCATGAAACCCATTTCATTCTAGTTTTATATTAATTTTATTCTATTGCCTTAATTTGTATTTCTATTATTTTTTTTCTATTAAATTACTTTAATAATATTTTATTATTTTTTTTATTTAATAATTGTAGTTTTTATTATTATTATTCTAATACCCATATTAATTTGTATATTTCCATTAATTTCTTATTAATGTAAATATATTAAAGCAAAAAATTTTAAAGCACATTTAAGAAGTTAACTGTGCATTATTAATGCAGCTGAGAGATGTGTAAATGCAGACGTGACTCATGTTCCTCTTGTGTCCTGTAGCTGGTGTGTTCTGTGCTATCGTGTCTCACCCCGCTGACTCGGTCGTGTCCGTGTTGAACAAAGAGAAGGGAAGCACAGCCGCTCAAGTGCTCAAGAAGCTGGGCCCTAAAGGTGAGACTCTTCTCAATCCGTTGTGTTTTACACATTTTCTTTCTTGTACAACCTGGAGTGTGTTTCCCGAACATGCCGTAACTCGCTGCTTTAGATGAAGAAATCAACTAGTGCGTCCCGAAACCATATTTTCGTGGCAAACTGGTCCTTTAACCATGTTGGTTAATGATGTCACACAGGTGTTGGAGTAATAACTACTTGTAATGAAACCGTTTGAGATTGAATTAATGAAATGTTTTGCTATAAATTACAGACATGAGATCTGAGGAATATTTCAAATTTTTCTCAGTTATTTTGCTTTATTTACAGATTCAATGGGCTGGGTAATAAATATTGATTTCTTGATATTAATCGATTCTCATTTTTACGAACCGATATCGATTCTTAAATCTCAAGAATCGATTAGTCATCCTGTTTCATTTGAATGAATGGGACATTGTATCGCAGCTGCGTGCATCCAAAAAATCGCAATAATCTTTGTCCTTTGTTACTATTGATATGAAACAAAGTCTCAATTTTCAAATTACGTCCATTTTCTTTAGAAATTCAAAAACATGAATAAGGTTTTGGCGCTGTGGCGTGAGATCAAGAGAAGCAGCAGCGCTGATCTCTCTTCCGGCTTAATAATACCAGTCACAGCGCCAAATAAACATGAATGAGCATCTGAAAGTGTGTTAAAGATACAGTACAACTTATCCAAATCCGTATCATGTCACATTGATTCGCTCAATCAGCGTTTTAACCGTGGAAAGACGTCAGTTAAACAGCTTGTAATCAATGTATCGTCATATTTACCTCAGAAAACCCACATAAACTCGTTAGTCAGCTAGAAAAAATAACTCTAGAGAGGAGCATTTTACTAAATATATACACCATATTACATGTGCATTATAATCTTAATGTTCTTCAATATTTAATGCATATTTGAATAAATCTGGCAAGTTTTTATGACAGCCACCATTTAAATGTTAATATTTCATATAATCTTATTATTATAAAAATAAATAAAAGTGTAATTTAAGTGTTTGTATAGCTACAAAACAGTTCATTATTACCTTCATATTAGGCTAATGAAGCCTATAGGCTACAACTAGACTCCCATAGTTTACAGCATTAGTTAAGAGATTTGATTCCCTTGAGAAAATGTGCCATTTATTGTAACTGATATCCAAAATAATCTATTGAATCGAATCGAATTGCAAGCTTGTGAATCGAAATCGAATTGTGAAATTGGTCTCAATACCCAGCCCTAGTTCTTACGCACTAGAGCTCGTTCACACACGCGCACTCTTCAAAACACGTTTGTATGTATCCTAAATAAAAGATATAGATTGTACTGAACGTCAGCTTGCTTGTTTTGCTCAAGATAAGCATTTGAGTCCTCATATCATGCGAACACAACTTTTCGATTGCGAATGTTTGTTGAAACGATGTTTCCAGGAAACCCCGACCCGTTGAACTATTCTGATAACGACGAGACTTGAGACTGTAGTTGCGATGCTTTCAGGAAACACACCCCAGATCAACACGCTCCTTAGATCCACCTCTGGGGAGTTTCCCCGGTCCGGTTCTGCTCTCTCTCTCTCTGGGATCAGCAGGATCGGGCCGGCGGCTCCCGGCAGCTTTACCGCTGCACAGTTGGAGGTGCTTGAGTCATTGGCGTGTGAGATCAGTCCACCTGCTTACCCAGCATCCTCTCTGCCCTGAACCGTCTCAGGAAAACACCAGGGCAGAACCGCTGGAGAGCAGACAAACTCTTCAAATCAAGCAATTCCAACATCGCATTACCAAACTGACTTTTAAATTCTCATCCGCTTGTGTGTGTTGTTTTTCAGGTGTGTGGAAGGGTCTGGTGGCCCGTATCATCATGATCGGTACCCTGACGGCCCTGCAGTGGTTCATCTATGACTCCGTGAAGGTCTACTTCCGCCTGCCCCGCCCTCCTCCCCCCGAGATGCCCGAGTCCCTGAAGAAGAAGCTCGGACTCACAGAGTAGACAGAGATCCCGCACACCTTCCCCCCCGACAGCTGCACACCTCCTGTTTTCTATATTTAAGCCTGTCCTGAGCCCCACTCACCCCGACATACCAATCAAGCGGAGACGCTCTCCTCCACGGGGCAGATCCGTGTCTAAATAGTCTATATAAAAATGGTTGCGACCTGAATGAATGCCGTGTGGTTTTAACCTCTGACATTTGTAATGTCAGCAGTAGTACAATAAAGAGCTACCTGGATATTATACACATGAAGTGCTGTCTCCCTTTGTTTCATGTTATGTTCAATCAATAAATTTGAGTTCTCGTTAGTTTCTCTGAGGATTGTTTTTCTAATTCTTTGTGGTTGCACATTTAGTGTTTTTGCTGTTATCATTTGTAATTGTAAGATGTCATGGTGTTACAGTAACTCAGCACACATGCTGCAGTAACTGTCTACGGCCGGTAGGGGCGCTGTGGTTTAGTTGTATACTAAAAGGGTTGCATTATACTGTAAGAGTGGTGTCAGTCATTTTAGCTGTAGAAAATCATTCAGGTTGGTGTTGCAGATTGCTAATTATGTTTTAATTTATGATAACTAGTTTGTAGTGTGAATAGATTTACTGTGTTATTTTTATTTAGTCATTAACAGAGTAGCTTGAGTTTTATTATTTATATATATATATGGTATTAAAGAACATGCTGAAAAAACCCTTTACTGCAGTATTTCACAAGTTTTTGAAAGCTTATTCAATAATAGTTATAGAATAGTTATTCACACGGAAATTTACACACAAGGGTAATTTTGCTATTGCAGTAGTAATAATTTATAGACATTTTATGCAAGTTATCGTAGGTAATGCTAATTTCAGAAATATTATTATAGGGATGTGCTGCTATACGAGCTTCCATTCAAAATCAAAATTATGCAAATCATATGCACAAATCAAATATTTAGTTCATGGTGCAGTTATGGCTTAGCCTACATTAAAAAACAATTTTATTTACATTATACATATATATTTTACATTATACATATATATTTTACAATTATATATATATATATATATATATATATATATATATTAGGGCTGTGCAAAAATTAATTGCGATTAATCGCATCCAAAATAAAACTGTGTTTACATAATATATTTGTGTGTGCTGTATATAATTATTTTGTATATATAAATACACACACATGCATGTATGTATTTAAGAAAATGTGTTATTCATATAAAATATTTATATAATATAGATTATGTTTTATTTATATATACAGAATTTAAGCGCAAATAATTCTTAAATATATACACACATGCATGTATATATTTAAGAAAATGTATTATTCATATAAAAAATTATATAATATAGATTGTTTTATTTATATATACAGAATTTAAGCGCAAATAATTCTTAAATATATAATAGCACACACAAATATATTATGTTAACACAGACTTTTATTTTGGATTCGATTAATCGCAATTAATTTTTGCACAGCATATATATTATGTGTCATAGTTTAAATTTTCATTTGATTAAAATAAAACATTGGCCAATGATGATAATCCGATGTGCTTCTGATGTATCAGGGATTCAAACTTGATTGTTGATCATTGGCAATAAGATCGGCACAATGTAGCTAGCCTACTATGCTAAATATTTGATTACGGTATAGTTATGCTATATGCCAATTATGCTCATTTTACTTCCTGATATGTCAAGACTATTTAATAAGTAATTTGTTGAGGTAGTTTTAAGCTGTCTAAGTTAGCTAGCCTATCTGCTGTCTGACCCCTCGTGTCACTCATAAGTAATTAGCCTAAGGCTAATCAGAAAATGTGTCAGTCAGTCAGTCTCATGAACACGGCTTTAGCGTTACCTGTGCGTTTGACCACACACACACACACACACACACACACACACACACACACACCCCAGTTTAAACTCAGGACCAGTGTCGTGTGATTTCTCGGTGTTTTTAATCTTTCACCGTGTGTTTCAGCGGCTGTACAGCAGATGGCAGCGGATTACAGTAACTCCATTAGCCTGGCACAGGACTGGCACTAAAGCACTGACTGCAGAGGATAGATAGCCTCACCACACACTATATCATGTTGGTGTCATGGTGGTATCTCTACCTGGGCGCGCAAAGCTTCTACACACACGGTAAGACTGACTTGTGCAACAGTGGATGTTGAACATGTAGTCTTAAATGACCTTGACTAGAAACGAGAGGAGAGTTTGTTTGAGTGTATATAGGACAGGAGTGTGTGTTTGTCCACATGATACATCACTGGAGGAGTGTCCTGTGAGTGACCTTGATCTAAACAGACAGGGGCATATATTATAAATATGAAGCAGGTTCTTCATTACAGCAGATGCCTGTGTGATTTCCCGAAGAGCATCTGTGTACCGGTGAGATCTTAATGTGCCTCATGTCATGCTGCTTTATTTCTATATGATCTGTGTGTTCTGATTATGAGATGAGGTTCTGCTCTGTTGACTGTGTTTTGGGAATTGTTGCTTGGTGAGGTTTTTAATCATCAACATGGTTAGCTAGAGGTTGTTTGGGCAAAACTTAATCTGGGACCCATTTAACCAACATGCTCTTGAGATTTACATGCGTCACCTCAAATTAACCTTGTATTTTCCTTCAGAATATTCCTGTAAATTTGAAGCTATTGCTTTTTCTGTTTTTTAGGTAATTGTTTTCCCCAGAATTATGAGTATAAGCATGTTATTAGAATCAATGAGGTTGTTATTTTTTAACTAGCCTACAGTTTGACCAACTCTGTCGTTTTTATTAGTTAAAAAAAGTGTTTTTGTTAAATGTTGTAATGTCTTTTAATTTCGACTATGAGGTCCTAGATATTGTTGATGAGATGCTTAGAAACAGGAAAAAGTCTCCAGTTGCTCTCTTTTTCATATCATTGCCATTTAAGAGATATAATTAAGATGTTACACGTGTGTGTGCCTACTTAACTATGTTTTGGGGACAAATTTGTGACACATTTTCTCCCTTTATGGACGTACTCATTTGTAAATCAGGTTTTTTAACAATGTAAAGCTGCAGAAAGTTGTGTGATGGGTTGGTTTGGGGGTACGGACGGTGATTTGATGCTTGTCCTCCTCTGCAGTGTTGAAGATGGCATCAGTTCTGCAGAAGCTCATCACTCCTCTGTTCAGCGGGCCGGTCGAGCCGCCCAGGAATAAAGTGTCGGTGGTCGGCGTGGGCCAGGTCGGCATGGCCTGTGCCGTCAGCATTCTCCTGCGGGTGAGACTGTGAACGTTATGAGGTCATTGATCGTGACAGGGTGTTCTCGCCAACAGAATTCGGACTTTGTGATAAAGTCCTTGTTTGTTTATTGTGTTTACAAGAGGGTATGGACATTTTGCTCACGCTGATGATGTCATTAGGTCAGTGTGTCACAATATCAATCATTTTTTAATAGATTTGGGTCATGTTTGTCTGAGCTTGACTTCGATCCCTTGGTCCAATTAGAAAAAAGGTGAAGAACCACAGCCTGCACAAACATAGATGAGAACGATAACTAGATTAGGACAAAAATAAGAAGAACCTGTATTGACCAATGATTTGAAATTCACTATATATATATATATATTAGGGGTGTGCAAAGCAGCCGGTATTTGTATCTGTATTTGTATTTATTGAGGGGGGAAAAGTATTTGTATTCGAATTCAAAATAGGCGTAAACAATTTTTTTTTATGGCGTTACACTTACGGTTACACTTAAAATTTACGTTATAGTGTAAGGATTCTTTAATTATATCCATTATAATAATTATGGATATACAATATTGGTTGATGTTTTCTATAAATCCAGCAATGAACATCAACAACAAGAAAAGTCATTGAAATTAAATTAACATTACAGTCATTACCTCATCCATGATTAAAACAACAACTAATAAAATACAATTGTGAACATTATGAAACCCACCACCACCTGGGCGCTTGTTCCCAAATACAAATATTTTTTAAAGTATTTGTTGGAAATACGTATTCGTAAAAAACGCGTTATTTGTGCCTTTCCGAATACCCCTAATATACATAGAAAAACATGTTTTCAATTCTTTTTATATTAATTTTTTTACAGTCTCAATGTCAATAATGTCTAGGTGTAACTGTCTCTAAAAACATTATTATATCTATTTTTAATATTATTATCTTATATTTATTTTTCTGTATTTTCATATTTCTATTATTAGAAGTAGTATAATGATTATTATTTGTACTATTAGTATTTCTATCTATCATCATGTGTCTAATTTTTTTTTTTTTTTTTAGAATAAATTACATACTTGTGTAGTATGAGTATATGTCATTCGTGAGTTATTTGGTGTGTGTGTGTGCAGGAGCTGGCGGACGAGCTGGCGCTGGTGGACGTGGTGGAGGACAAACTCAAGGGGGAGATGATGGACTTACAGCATGGAAGTCTCTTCTTGAAGACGCCCAAGATCGTCTCAGGCAAAGGTCGCGCACTTCTTCTGTCATATTAATGCCTCGTTCATTCATTCTTCCGTCGCCTCAACTCCTCAGTGTGATGCTGCTGGTTGCCAGGGTGTTGCTAAGCAGTTGCTAACATGTTTTGTATTATGTTACGGTATGGTTGCTTGGAAATTTTGAGTGGTTTGTTTTAAACGCTCCCTTGTGAAATGTTTTGTCCTTCAGATTACTCTGTGACGGCCAACTCTCGTGTGGTGGTGGTGACGGCGGGCGTTCGACAGCAGGAGGGAGAGAGCAGACTCAATCTGGTGCAGAGAAACGTCAACATCTTCAAACACATCATCCCTCAGATCGTCAGATACAGTCCCAACTGCATCCTCATCGTGGTGTCCAACCCAGGTAAACACACACTCTCTCGGTCACACACACCACACTTTTTTGCGTTTCTAACGTTTTTTCTGCTACAGTGGATGTGTTGACGTACGTGACCTGGAAGCTGAGCGGCCTCCCGAAGCACCGCGTCATCGGCAGCGGGACAAACCTGGACTCGGCTCGCTTCCGGTTCCTGATGGCCGAGAGGCTGGGCATCCATCCCAGCAGCTTCAGCGGGTGGATACTGGGAGAACACGGAGACTCCAGCGGTGAGACCACACACACCTGTGTGTGTGTGTGCGCAAGAATATATTAGTAAAGATATTTATATTACTATTATATAAAATAAATGTAAACAGTATTTGTATACATAATTTTTGTATTTAATTATATAAAATATAAATTAAAATATAATGTTAAATGATAAATAAATAATAATTAATAATAAAATATATATTAAAAATAATATATTATAAATTATAAAATATTTAAATTTTAATTTGTATGCATTATAAAAGTATATATAAATTATGTAATTAATAAAATATATTAGGTTCATGTATAATACAAATATTTAAATAATTGTAATTCGTATGCATTATTTGCATAAATACTAATAAATAATAAAATGAGTATTAATATTTATTATTTAAAATTGAAGTAATTTGAATAATAATGATTTATATGTGTAATTATATAAATTGTAAAATGTTAAGTTTTTATAAGATACATTCTATTTATTATCAATAAACATAAAATAAAATAAAACCATAAATATTGCCATCAAATTCTGAACATTTAATATCATTCAAGAACTGTGTGTGTGTGTAAGAATATATTAGTAAAGATATTTATATTACTATTATATCAAATATACAGTATTTGTATACATCATTTTTGTATTTAATTATACAAAATATAAATTGAAATATAATAGTAAATTATAAATAAATATTAATGAATAATACATTATAAAATATAAATTATAAAATAATACAATTTTAATTTGCATTCATTATAAAAATATATATAAATTATGTAATTAATAATTAATAAAATATATTAGGTTCATGTATTATAAAAATATTTAAATAATTGTAATTCGTATGCATCATTTGCATAAATGCTAATAAATAATAAAATTAGTATTAATATTTGTTATTTAAAATTGAAATAATTTGAATAATAATGATTTATATGTGTAATAATATAAATTGTAAAATGTTAAGTTTTTATAAGATACATTCTATTTATTATCAATAAACATAAAATAAAATAAAACCATAAATATTGCCATCAAATTCTGAACATTTAATATCATTCAAGAACTGTGTGTGTGTGTGTGTGTGTAAGAATATATTAGTAAAGATATTTATATTACTATTATATCAAATATATGTATACAGTATTTGTATACATCATTTTTGTATTTAATTATACAAAATATAAATTAAAATATAATAGTAAATTATAAATAAATAATAATGAATAATAAATTATATTAAAAATAATACATTATAAAAATATAAATTATAAAATAATACAATTTTAATTTGCATTCATTATAAAAATATATATAAATTATGTAATTAATAAAATATATTAGGTTCATGTATTATACAAATATTTAAATAATTGTAATTCGCATGCATTATTAGCATTAATACTAATAAATAATAAAATGAGTATTAATATTTAAAATTGAAATAATTTGAATAATAATGATTTATATGTGTAATTATATAAATTGTAAAATGTTAAGTTTTTATAAGATACATTCTATTTATTATCAATAAACATAAAATAAAATAAAAACATAAATATTGCCATCAAATTCTTAACATTTAATATCATTCAAGAACTGTGTGTGTGTGTTTTGCAGTTCCTGTTTGGAGCGGCACTAATGTGGCCGGAGTCAGTCTGCAGAAACTCAATCCTGACATCGGCAAAGAGACGGACAGAGAGAACTGGAAAGATACGCACAAGAATGTCGTGGACAGGTACGTCAATGAGCTCGTCTTTTAGATATTAGTCCTAATTAATGAATTAGTATGTGAAAGGAACAATAAACATTGAAAAAGTATGCAACACTGTCATCACATCACAATTGATTGATTCAGTGTTGTGTCTCGTTATCTCACAAATATACTTTAGAATTCAGTTTGGTTTAAAACGAAATGCATTCAGACAGAAATGATATATGTATGTGTTCCCGCAGTGCGTATGAGGTGATCCGGCTGAAAGGTTACACTAACTGGGCCATCGGCCTGAGCGTGGCCGACCTGAGCGAGAGTCTGATGAAGAACCTGAACCGAGTCCATCCCGTCTCCACCATGGTGAAGGTCAGGGCGGTGTTACTGAACCCTACATATAACACACACACTAATGTTCAACAGTTCAGGATCTGTTAGAGTTAAAGAAAAGGCATTAAATTGATCAAAAGTGACAGTAAAGACATTTATAAAGTTATATTATAAGATTATAATGCTTGGGATAATATGCTTGCAAGTAAGTAATGGAGACTGCGGCTGTTCATTACACATTAAAGGAGTAGTTCACTTTAAAAAACTTTTGCTGATAATTTACTCGCCCCCGTGTCATTCAAGATGTCCATGTCTTTCTTTCTTCAGTCGAAAAGAAATGAAGGTTTTTGATGAAAACATTCCAGGATTTTCTCCATATAATGGAGTTCAATGGGGACCAAACGGTTCAAGGTCCAAATGAGAGTTTCAGTGCAGCTTTAAACGACACCAGACGATGAATAAGGATCTTATCAAGCGAATCGATCACTCATTTAATAAATAAATAAAAAAAGTTTAAGTTTTATAAGCACAAACGCTCGCCTTGCTCTGTTCTGTGATGAGTGTTCAGACTCGTTCATCAAAATGAACAAATCTTTTTTCGAGTCATTTGGTTCATTCAATGAACGAGTTGACTCAGGAAAAGATTCGTTCATTTTGATGACACAACACGAACAATTGTGGTCAAAAAGTATATACGTTTTTATTTATTTTTAGAAAATGACCGATGGTTTCGCTAGATAAGACTCTATCCCTCAGCTGAGGTCGTGCAGAGCCGTGTGAAGCTCTTATCCTGAAATGTTTTCCACAAAAACCTTCATTTCTTTTCCACTGAAGAAAGAAAGACATGGACATCTTGGATGACACAGGGGTGAGTAAATTGGTGCATCAGTCCTTTAAAATCCTACAATAAATCAAAGATGAAACCCATCTCCTGGCCTGAACGCAGACGTCTGTTGCAGGGCATGTTCGGGATCGGTGACGAGGTCTTCCTGAGCCTGCCGTGTGTGTTGAACAGCGCTGGAGTGGGCAGTGTGGTCAACATGACTCTGACCAGCGACGAGGTTTCGCAGCTGAAGAAGAGCGCAGACATGCTGTGGCACGTCCAGAAAGACCTGAAAGACCTGTAACGAGCTTTTATTCACAGCGTCCGATGTTCGATCGCTGCTTCGAGACACCCGTGAGGTGTTGCATAAGGTTTTTAAAAAATATCCTAGTATTAAGCAATGCAAACATAACAAAAATAAGTCTGTTTGGATTTAAATATGCAAATGCGTAAGAGTCTTTAGGATGGATCATTATGGCAGTGATTAGCATGTTATAAGATGTTTGGCAACCCTAACTGATGGAGTGTGTAGCTTTGCACACATCATGAACATATACAGCATTTAAAGTCTACTTTAGAAAGAAAAAACACATAATAATCACTGCAAGAATGATCCAGTCATACACTCGTATGCATTCGCCTGTTTAAATCCAAACAGCGACTTTATTATTTTATTTAGGGGTCTGAATCTGCATACTTCAAATAATCAGAAACACATGACTGTCTCTTTAAAACTGACCCTGGTGTCTGATGTTCATGGTGAAATATAGCAAATTATACGCAACAACTCAAAAGTTTGGATGCAATTTACTGAATTTATGTTTAGAACTTTTTATGAGCTTCAAATTAGCTTTGTAAAGAAATATACATTTTGTAAACATATGATTTATCTAACTAAAGCTTTTTTTTTTTGTTATGCATGCATTGTGAAGGAAAAGCATGATCAAACGTTCAACAGATGCAGAGAAGGAAGAACTGAATATGATCACAAACTGAGTAAAATATGCATAAAGTATAAGTAGGTGTGTCCAAACTTTTGATTGACATTGTTGCTCTTCCAAATGACTGTTGATTTCAGGAACTACTCAATGATGTACACACTATTGAAGAGCAATATGGCTAATGCTACAAAGATATATTTGCACTTGTATGAGGCTTTAAATGTGATGTCGGGCAACATCAAGGATATAATCCATTTATTAAACAGAATCTTTGTCGGTAAAAATGTATATTAGTCTCACATTTCAAGTATGTACAAATACTTAAACAAGTCAGTCATGTCACGCAGGTTGCTGTATTTCCTGGTTTCCAACAGTCTCCACTCCACTAGGTGGAGCTCATGTGGAAAACGTCCAAATTAGCCTCATGATTAGAGCAAAACAAACCAGTTGGCACATAAAAAAACATTCTTTTTTAAAAAAAACAGTAACGACTTTATTCAGAACCCAGTGATTCCTTCAGGTGAACTTCATCGTCACGTTTCGGGGTGCAGTCAGTGGTCCTGTCGCCCCCTGGAGGGCGACGCGTGATGCAGCAACGATGACAACGTCTGACTTGGTTTGGTTATCAGTCCCAGAAAAAACACAAACTTCTTCACAGGTAAAATATCAAAAATCTCCTCTGTGGTTCAGAGAGACGCCGAGCCCGAAGCACATTATGACAAATATAAATATGAGCCACTCATAAAAAAACTAACGCATTGACCGTTATACCATGGTGTTGCTCTCGCCGACTTTATCCACTAGCTGAAAGAGAAACACAGCCACAATTAATCATTTGACAGGTTTTGAAGTTCAGGTGAAACTCAAAAAAAAAGTGTGAATGTGTCGAGTTCAAATACTTTTCTTAAATTGATTTCTAATTTTCGGAGATTTTGAATTTGGGGTTTTCGTAAGCTGTAAGATTTGCCACGATATTGTAATTTTTCGAGTTTCACCGGTATCGGTCATGTAAGCGCAAAACACCAAACCAGACTTACTCCACTGATGCCAGGAAGGTTCAGTAAGGATCCCAGAATAGGCACCCGCCTGATAAAGCCAACCGCTACTGGGAAAAAGCCCCTGAAAACAGATGGAGACACCATTAAAAATCACCATAAAACCAGTATTTATTAGAAATTATTTATCCATGCACATAATGTGTTGAGAAATTAATAATCATTAATCAAAATAACTCCCCCTTGCTCTTTCAGCGACATCGTTTCTCTGCATGAGGGCGGGGCAACCCGTCACTCACATGCGATCGACCAATCACAAACCATCCAATCAATTCCCCATGTACAAAAAAATTCAAGTCCCGCCCACATTTGTTCTTGATTACACTCATGTGTCACTCCCAACACCTTAAAAGTATATACTCTTATTGTGCAGAAAAAGTACATACTTTTGAGTGTGTACAAGACATACAATCACATCATAAAATTGCATAATAAATTCAGTGTTTGTAGTTCTGAACCGAATCCTCCTCCAAAGCGCAATGGGTTATGGGTGATATTAGATGTTAGACTGTGCATGGAGCCAAACTTCGAAAATCTACCGAAAATAGTAGACCATCCTGGGACTTTTCTGCATACTCTTTTCAATATTCAATGCTTTGTAAAACTTTCTTAAATCTCGCGTACTATTTAGGATGGATAGTATGCACATATATGTCAGATATGTGTTAAAACCAGGTGTGATGCAGTGGATAAGACACATGCCTTTGGTGTGAGAGACCCGGGTTCGAGTAGCTTTGGATAAAAGCGTCAGCTAAATGAATAAATGTAAATGTGAAACTAAAGCATTGATCGCCCCCTGGTGGCTGGCTGCAGTACAAGTCATTAAACCCACTCTCTCCATGTAATCAAATGGGACGTGAGGCAAACTAAAAAATTAATTTACACTTTAAATAATATTTTTCCCCAGGGTGGTTGTTTGTCATTTTAGGTAGTTCTTTATCCACGCTGAAATACGCTATATAAACGGGGTGTAACATCATGATTGACAGCTGTGCTGTATAGACCTTATTCAGAGCAGCACCATTAAATCTGTTCATCTTGAACAAAAAAGTGAAAGTATAGCTTTAAATAAATAAATTAGGGCTGTCAAACGATTAATCGCATCCAAAATAAAAGTTGTGTACATAATATATGTGGGTGCACTGTGTATAATTATTTTATATATATATATATATATATTTATATATATATATACACACACACACACACACACACGCATGCATGTATTTAAGATTTAAGAAAAAATATTATTTATATATAAAATAATGATATTTATATATAATCTAAATTATATATAAATCTATAGACAGTATATACATTTACAGTACATATATTTCTTAAATATATACAAGCGTGTGTGTGTGTGTATTTATGTATATAAAATAATTATACACAGCGCACCCACATATATTATGTAAACAAAAACTTTTATTTTGGATGTTTGACAGCCCTAAAATAAATATAAACCCCTTTATGGTCACGCAAAAACACCCTGTCAGGGTTTGTGAATAAAACAGCAACAATAACAACAACAACTCCTCACCGGAAAAGAAGGAAAAATCCATAGACCTCCAGAACGACGCCTACAATCGGCCATCCGATGAGCACCACGAAAACGCCTCCCAGAAAGAAACCAGTGGCTTTCATTTTATGCCGCTGGAAGAAGAACCTGAAAGTCCGTTCCAGCCCGATAACGAATGAGAGACCTGCAACAAACAAGATCTGCACACACACACACACATGTTCAGTTCAAGGAGGGTTTCATTTCATATTAACACAAATCTGAGCATTCCCATCACATTTCACTCCATTCAAACACAACTTTGTTTCCATCCTAAAGCACACACTCACATTTCCTATGGCCAAGAGGGCTTTATCAAAGAACAGAATCATCCCGAAGAAGAGGAAAAACACGCCGAAACCCGTCAGCCCCATCCCGATCTCTGATCAAACACAAGAACACACTTCATTAGTGCTCAATTACACATTGCTGCATGCAAATGAGTCATATTTAAAAGCTTGCAGAAATTAACATTAAGCACTGCAAGTATACAAGTAAAACTGATGAACACCTTTTTGTGCAACAGTTGTACAAACTGTTTCAAAAGATTTTTCTTTTTTTATGCCTTTGAAAAGGTTTGATTACCATTTACCATGGTATTTGCATGGTAAACCACAGCACTTGTTCAGAGAATGTCATGGTAATATAGATTAGATAGATAGATAGATAGATAGATAGATAGATAGATAGATAGATAGATAGATAGATAGATAGATAGATAGATAGATAGATAGATAGATAGATAGATAGATAGATAGAATAGCAATAGTATAATATGGTTATACTATTGATAAATCTAATGTTTACATTACATACTATAGTACATTACACTAGCCTTTGGGCTAATTTGGGTACATTTACATTCATTGATGTTTATTAAATATTATTAATGTACACTTTTGTACCCTTTTTGAAATAAATCAATAAAACCACAATGGCAGTGCCGTTCTTCATTAATGTTAAGAGTTTTACTATATTTGATTGTACTGTTTGAGGCCAGGCCGTCTATCCTCATTCATTCCCTTTCATCAGTTTAAGAACATTTTTCCAGCTTTAAAGCCTCATTTTCACTATTTTTATCACGATTAATATAACGCAAACATACAGTAAATTTGACTTACTCTGTGAATCCGTTAATGAAATCATGTTTGTGTTGTGTATCAGCTGCTTTACAGACTGAAGAGTAAAACTGTTCTGTGTGTGTGTGTGTGTGATCGCCACGACACCGGAAACACGTCGAGATCCTTTAAAAGTCTGAAATGACGCAGAGAAGCGTTGCAATTTAAAAAAAAAAAAATAGTTTACAGTGTTATAATTATTATTATTGACTTTATTTTATTTAAATATTACTGCTACCTCTCGCGATTATGCAACTCCAACGTAAAAACTGGCAAAGTTTGTTCGTTTGAAGGAATAAACCCATGGAATAAACCTACTCGTTTCCGTTTGTGATTCTGGGAAATGTAGTTTTCAGTCGTACCCAGATGCATTCTGAATCAGAGACAAAAAACTACAAATCCCACAAGAGGAGGTGGGAAGGAGCTAGTCAGTATGCGTGTTCATTGAAGTGCAGGAACATTTACAAATGTATTATTCACAATGCCAACATCCGGAGTAGTGTAAAGCTGACATAACTGCTGAATATAATTGTTTCATTTTAGCCGTTAACAATGAATACGCTGTTTGCGACCAGTTTGGTGTTTGTTGGTTGCTGCAGCAATGTTGTGTTTTTGGAACTTTTGGTTAGGTGAGTTGCATTTCTCTCACTTCTGATCATTCATTGTCAGTCATGTCTGATATGCTGTCATTTCTTACTTCTTTAAATCACATATTTTACAGGGATTTCCCAGGATGTGGAAATATTGTCACATTTGCTCAGTTTGCCTTCATTGCACTGGAGGGATTCATCTTCGAGACAAACTTTGGACGCAAAAAGCCACACATACCCCTCAGGTTAACAATTTACACAAGTTACATGTAACGTTAAACTAGTGCATTTTGGCTTCTCAGACTTGATTAGTAGACAGTGAAAATGCATTGATCATTTTAGGTGAATGTCTAATGATTTGCCTGATTCCCATCCCATTATGTTATATGTGCAATTGTGCATTTATTCGTTTTACAAAAATGAAATGCACATTTGCAGTTTTGACTGAAACAACCTGTTTTGCTTGTTGAACGAGGTGTAAAAGGCAGTGTTTACCGTTATTAATTATTACAATATCATAGGTGAAAGGTGAGCACCTTGCTTCGTCACCGGTACAGGTGGTTTGCAAGTCAAAGCTCAGTGCTGTGAACATTATCTATGTATATGTACATATTTGGGTAACACTTTATTTTAAGCCAAGGTGACATTACTACATGTGCCTACTATTGTAATAACAGTAAATTATGCATAATGACAACTAACCCTAAACCAAACCATAACCGTAAGTACATGTAGTAAATTAATTTTGCTTGTCTGAGTAAGTATAATGTGAAAATAAAGTGTAACTTATATTTGTATCGAATATCGGATATGAAAACATGTACAATATGGCATACTGCATAATTTTTCACATACTGCACTGCACAGTGAATATAGAATATATAATCAACTCACTATAGTAATTTACAGATTTTATTTATATTGATTTATATTTTAAATCTTGTTTTTTTTTATCTAATGTATTTATTTATTTAATTAATTTATTCATATTATTTTTAATTACTGGACTTTTCCACGGACCTCCTGTCACTCCCTGACTCGTCTTCCATTCCAAACATAGTCGTGCAGTTTTGAACCTCGACAAGATGACTTACGTTACAGTCTTTGTGCTAAATCTAGAACCACAGAGCAGATAAGACGCATCTCCTACATTCAGTGGTTCTTAAATGGTTTTGCTTCAGGACAGATTTTGTTCTGTACTTTAGGTGGGCATGTGTAAAAATAAATAAAAATTACCTCAGTTAAAAATTGTAATTTACACGTTTATTTAATGTTTTATTTGTTTCAGTATGAGGGCATGTCATGCAAATCTGTTCATGTTGTTGCCAAGTAACATGAATTTGATCAAAAGAGTTTAGTAGATTTGCATTCAGCTTCCGTGACCTTCAATGTCTCTTCTTTTGCAGTAACTATGTGATCATGGTGACTATGTTCTTTACCGTCAGCGTTATCAATAACTACGCCCTGAACTTTAACATCGCCATGCCACTGCATATGATCTTCAGATCAGTGAGTGTCATTCGTTTCATTCATTGCTTTGTAACTGTGCCTTAAAGATCTTTCTAAGTTCTCCTTTTGTTCACAGGGATCTTTAATAGCAAACATGGTTCTCGGGATTGTCATCTTAAAGAAAAGGTATGCTGAAGATCATGCACAAAATCATTTCTGAAAAAAACAAAAACAAAACCCCAACTAAATCAAGACTTTGTGAAGGGGTGTGAATTATTTTGCATATTGTTCATTAATATTATTACTTTTATCGTGACTGCAGATATTCGATGAGTAAATACCTCTCCATCGCTCTGGTGTCTCTGGGCATTTTCATCTGCACTATTATGTCGGCTAAACAAGTGGTGAGTTGCACAACCAGCCTGGGATTATTAGTAGTTTCATATTATAAAATATTCACATTTTGTCTGCACCTAATACATCAGGTTTGATCCTTATGTAGAGTGTTGAGAAAGGAGCCACAGAGGAAGATGGTGTTTATGCCTTCATGCATTGGCTTCTGGGTAATATTCTCACTGCACATTCAACGTTTTCCGCATTCTGCACAGTATACAGTATAGTTATATTTAAAAAAGAACATGTTAAATGACATTCGTAAAAATATTTAAATTATACAGGACCGGGTCAGCATTTTTTAATATATATACACACACACACACACACACACACACACACACACACACACACACACATACATATATATATATATATGAAGAGTTCAGATGCAAAAGCCTCTAAATGCCATTTGAAATTTTCTTCTTTAATAATGATTTTTATCAAACTTGTATATTTATGTTCAGTAATTTCACTTAAATAACAATTAATAGGTGATTATCATTGCCATTTAAGTGAAATCACTGAACTTAAATATACAAGCTTGATAAAAATCATCATTCTAGAAGAAAATTTCAAATGGCACTTAGAGGCTTTTGCATCTGAACTCTTCATATATATATATATATATATATATATATATATATATATATAAATTGACACTTTTATACTGCAAGGATGCATTAAATTGGTCAAAAGTGACAGTAAAGACATTTATGATGTTACAAAAGATGTCTATTTCAAATAAATGTTGTTCTTTTGAACTTTCTATTCAGCAAAGAATCCTGAAAAATCACAGTTTCCACAAAAATATGAAGCAGCACGACTGTTTTCAAAATTGATAATAATCAGAAATGTTTCATCATATTAGAGTGATTTCTGAAGGATCATGTGACACTGAAGACTGGAGGAATGATGCTGAAAATACAGCTTTACAATCATTACAATATCGAAGCTCTTGAATGGTTGTGTGTATACGGCATACTGCTAAACTAGCATCAGTAGTGTGTTAGTAATATTCTGAACCTATTCCAAGATAAATATGTGAAAAGTGAAATCATTTCTATTTTGGAGCACGTAAGCAAGATACTCCGTTAAATCAGTGCTGTTGTGTTTCAGGGATCGCCATGCTGACGTTCGCCTTGCTGATGTCTGCAAGAATGGGGATTTTCCAAGAAACTCTGTACAAGAAGTATGGAAAACACTCCAAGGAGGCTCTGTTCTACAATGTGAGTCCCTAACTGTACACATGATGCTGTCATACATGAGTTTGTGGGATAAAGTGTAATTTCTCTGCCTTTATTTCAGCACTGTCTGCCGTTACCAGGATTCCTCCTGCTGTCGACGGACATCTACAAACACGCCGTGCTCTTCAGCCAGAGCTGTGAGTCTGATTCAACACGGAGTCATATTAAGATGCATTTTGATGGATCAGATCACAAGTGGACGACACTAAATACAGGAGTAAACGGGGTATAAAACGTTTTGAGCTTGTCCACTTTCGGCACTTCCAGAGGTAGTCGAAAACACATTAGACCGGATTGCTTTCGTAGTGTAAACGCTCATGTGGTCGAGTGTGTTCAAACAGACCTAGTCCATTAGATTGAAAGATCTGAAAAGCCCATTCATTTCCCAAGCCATAAACCCTCCCCTCGAAGACATCAGGACAGAAGTGTTTGAAAGTGGACTAAAGAGACAGATTTAAACACCAGGTGTAAACGGGAATGTGTCTCGCTCGTCTACTTGTGATCAAAACACATCGTAATACCAGCTGTAAACAGGGCCACAGTAAATTAGTCCTCATCACTATATACTACCGTTCAAGACGTTAGGATCAGTGTGTTTAAAGAAAGTATTTTCTGCTCACCAGGGCTCACAAGAAATTGTGAAATATTATTAGTTAATATACTTTAAAACGTAATTTATTCCTGTGATCAAAGCTGTAACATCTTCGGTGATCCTTTTGATTTCTTATTGTTATCAATGTTGGAAACAGTTTTTGCTGCTTAAAGGAGAAGTTCACTTTAAAAAAAAACTTGCTGATAATTTACTCACCCCCATGTCATCCAAGATGTCCATGTCTTTCTTTCTTCAGTCGAAAAGAAATTAAGGTTTTTGATGAAAACATTCCAGGATTTTCTCCATATAATGGACTTCAATGGGGTCCAAACGGTTCAAGGTCCAAATGAGAGTTTCAGTGCAAACTGTTCAAAGGGCTTTAAACGACACCAGACGATGAATAAGGGTCTAATCAAGTGAAATGATCGCTCATTTAATAAATAAATAAAAAAGTTTAAGTTTTAAAAGCTCAAATGCTCGCCTTGCTCTGTTCTGTGATGCGCGTTCGTGACTCTCCTGTTTGAACTCGTTCATCAAAATAAACGAATCTTTTTTGAGTTACTTCGTTCATTTCGTTCGTTGAATGAATCAAATGACTCGAAAAAAGGTTCATTCATTTTGATGAACGAGTTCGAACAGGAGAGTCACGAACGCGCATCACAGAACAGAGCAAGGCGAGCATTTGAGCTTATAAAACTTAAACTTTTTTATTTATTTTTTAAATGAGCGATCGTTTCACTTGATAAGACCCTTATTAATCGTCTGGAGTCGTTTAAAGCCCTTTAAAGCTGCACTGAAACTCTCATTTGGACCTTGAACCGTTTGGACCCCATTGAAGTCCATTATATGGAGAAAATCCTGGAACCTTCATTTCTTTTCGCCTGAAGAAAGAAAGACATGGATATATATATATATATATATATATATATATATATATATATATAAATGTGTGTGTGTGTATATATATATATATATATATAGGTGAATAGAAAGTTCAAAAGAACAGCATTAATTTGAAATAGAAATTTTATAACTCAATACAGTCAAATTAAATGCATTCTTACTGAATAAATGTGTTCATCTCTGTGTAAGTCTTGGATTTTGACATGACAAACCGATGACTTTCTCTCAAAGCTCCAGTGGAAATCCCTGTGATTGGTCAGTCTATGCCAGTCATGTGGTTTTACCTGCTGATGAACGTCATCACACAGTATCCTTTCGTATTTGTCTGTTTACAAGCTTTATTGGACAGGACTGTGGAATCCTGATTGCATGGCAAGAGTCAGTTTTATATTGCATATATCGTCCTTATCCAGATGTGTCAGATATGTGTGTATCCGCGGCGTCTTCATCCTGACTACAGAGTGCGCCTCGCTCACGGTCACACTGGTGGTGACGCTGCGCAAGTTTCTGAGCCTCATTATTTCCATCCTGTACTTCCGTAATCCCTTCACAACCTGGCATTGGGTGGGAACGGCCGTGGTGTTCCTGGGAACGTTGCTCTACACGGAAGTGTGGTCCAGCGTTCGTGTGGCAATGAAAGGAGAGAAAGCCCACAAGAAGGCAGAGTAAACTGGACAATGCGTTTTCATTGATTTACTGTGAATGGATGAGAGCTTGAAGTGTGTTTGGGCCAATTTTATGAGCTGTTTTTGAGCCAGATGTGTGTGTTAGAGCATTTGTCTGTAAGCTTGCACAATCCCTGACCTGTTTGACCCGAAATGGACCCTTATTTTGTTCCTGACACTATATTTACATTCAGGACTTGCTGTAGAATTATGTATTGATTTCCACAAGTATTTATTTATTTTCCGTTTTTTAATCACAGCCAGTTTCGTTAAGTCAGCGGAATGTGTCGGCCCACTTACATGTGTGAAATAATAATAAATACGACCACAAAAGGTAATGCAAAACTTTTATGTAATCGTTTTAAGCTGTTGTCATTTTAAGGCCAATTTATACTTCTGCGTAGGGTGCGCGCAGTAGGTACGGCGTAGCATACGCACAGACGCGTCCCATACCGCGTACCCTTCGCCGTCGCCTGACGCGCACCTCCTCAAAAATGTAACTACACGTCGCGACGACGCGGACCGCAAGATCGGTGATTGGTTGGCTTGGTAGCATCGCATTTCCTCCTACGCATTTCCGCACGTACCTTCTCACGCATTTCCACCACTGTCTATGATTTCCACAAGTTTCATCTCCTCCGAAGTCTTCTCTCATTTCTGCCTTTCAGTTTTAGTAATTTCACTAAAGTGAACTGTTTTTCCACCTTAATAAGCTCCAATTCCAACATGATCAGCTCTCTTTCACTCGTAGTAACCTAGCCGCGAGGAATCTAAACACAGTGGAACATTAAAACTCTCCGCCGCCAACTAGCGTTTCGGAGCAGTACTGCAGAGCAACCAAGACCTGAACGCAGAAGTATAAATGCTCACAACGGCGTCGCCTACGTGCGTAGCCAACGCCGTACACTACGGCGTACCCTCGACGCAGAAGTATAAATTGGCCTTTATCAGTTGAGGCCTTTCTCTAGCGCTTCATCAGGATGAGCTAAAGCAATACCGTAGAATACAAGACTGTATGAGTGTTGTTCGTGAGGCTACAATTTGTTGCATGGATTTGTGTAAAAAAAGTGTTTTCTATCAGCTAACACAGAGACCTCATAAACTAAAGGAAATCTTTGTCTTCTTCATTGGCTTTAAAAGTGTTTTTCCTCCATGTATCTGAGGGATCAATTCCTAGGCTTTTTATGTGGTCATGTATTGTTAGTGGCTCATGTTGATGCAACTAATGCAGTTATTGTTAATATTGTAACATTAAAATAACGATGGAGATTTCAAGTGTATGATTTACATTTTTAGTAGCACAGAAACAGTTTGAATAATAATAATCACCTCATGTATTATTTACGCATTATATTAGCCACGCCCCCGATTTTATGAGAGACTACATTAAATATATTTATACTCACGTAGCAAAAGAAAAACTCCACTGTAGTTTTTAATTTTTTCCCACAACTTTCAAAAGAGGAAAAAATAGAGGGAATGATAACGGCAGTCGGAAGAGAGAAAGATGAGAAAGACAAACATCCTCCTCACAGCAGCATTAATTAGCTTATTTTGTAATTTGATGCAATTGTAATATAATACAAGGTATAGTGTTATAAATGTAAATAATTATCTAAAAAAAATTATATATATATAAAACATCGCTGGATTTACATCATTATTAGCCACGCCCCTACACGTCACGAAAAGCAGTTGGAAGAATGTCCACTTCAAGTCCTTCTAAGTTCTAACTTTACATATTTTATAAAATGTATGTTGAAAAAATAAAACATTTATTCTCAAATTATAAACTTTCGTTATCTGGCAGTAATAATTCGCTGTCTCTCAGTAGGTTTGAATCTGAATGAACGGCGGGGCTGTGCAGAGAGATTCCCATAGGAAATTCCTCAGTGTGTGAGACGTGGGAAGGGCTCTGAACACGAGCTTTCGGCAGATATTGAAGCCCGTACTGAATTTCCCATCAGATAAATCCCGTTTTTTGTATCTTATTTACAATAATTACCACAAAGGTACACCGTCGCAGTGATGGGAGGCAACAGCAGCTCGCGCCACGTTTCCCTCGACGAAGCCGACGAGGTTACTTTCGTAAAGGGCATTCGGGTAAGTGTAACTTAATAGTTAACAATAAACTTATGAAAAGGAATTTTCCGTTTTCGTTACTAAGTAGTTAACGTTTTAGCTTCATAATCTCTTGCTCATACAAAACTTTCTGTGGTGCTTTGTTATTGTATTGAACTGCAGTGTATTATTGGAATATCGTGCAAAATGCAAGAATTGCAGTGTTTGTGGAGATTTCACTCGAAATCTTACACCATTTGAATATCGTGAAAAATGCAAGAAATGTATTGTTTGTGGAAATTTTATGGGTGTACAAAAAATGTACTGCTGTGCAGGTCATGTTGTGTTAAATATAGCTATGGGTCATGATCTGCATGCTAAGCATGCATACTTAACCTAGACATGACTGGTAAACTTTCATATTACTTCTAGACATATTGTAGTGCCATGGTACATGATTTAGGTTGCCAGTTTATATCAATGAATGAATAATGGTATTATACTGTGCCATGATATTGGCAAAGTACTTAATTAAGGATAATTTCAATCAATTCCTGCATTATTTTGTAATTGCTTGCATATTGCATGAACTAGAAAAATAACAACGCAATATCAGCTAATGAAGATCCACGAATCCTGGTATTAATATTACAAAGTTCGAAAAAGATTATTAAATTCAATTTGCACAACAATAATCTGGGCAAAAAAGTTATACGAGATTCTTGTGGGACCGTCATACACTTTTAAACTTTTAGGCAAGGCAAGTTTATTTATATAGCACATTTCATACACAATGGCAATTCAAAGTGCTTTACATAGAAGAAATTAAAAGAATCAAAAGAAATCAGAATAATTAAAACAGTTTAGAATAAAAAAATATATATAAATAGGCGATGCAAAACATTTTTCCCACTTATCATTGAAAATGCAACTGTGCACATATTTTAATGAACAAAAGAAAATGTTTATCAATGCAATTTCTGATCTGATGATAAACAGCTTTCAGAGAGAGTGATTAATCGAATGAAGGAGTCTCCACCTGTGGTTCGCCCACAAGCCCCAACCAGATCATCATCAACTCCTCCGGTTGAGTCTTCAGTTCCAGATGAACATCATGTACCCATAATGCCTCATTCTCCTTCATACGCCAGTGCTTTGGTCCCTCCTCTTTCGGAGCCTTCTGTGACTGAGGAAACATCTACACCTCCTTCATCTGTTCAGGGTCTTCCAATTCCTCCACCTACCGGTACTGAGCATGTAGTTGTACCCGATCCTCAACCTGGATCTGCTAACATACCTGTCCCTGATCCTCAACCTGCTAAACCCATACATGCTCCTTCAAGTGAACCAATACCCTCTCCTCCATTAGTTGAATCAACCATTGCACTTGTTGAACCCTTTATACCCCCTCCTGTCACAACCTCTACTAGTGAACCTGTAACCAATCCGCCTTCACCAACCACAGACCCACTGACTGAGCCCGTAACATCTTTAGAGTCCTCTAATGAACCCATAGAGACTCCTGTACCTTCACCTGCTGATCTTGTGACGTCACCTTTCCCAATCTCCACACCCGATCCCGTTTTATCCGTCATAGAGGAGTCTACTGTGTTACCATCTGGGTCTGCCGCGTCAGATGTGGTTTTGCTTTCCAAGACACCTTCACCTGAAAAACCTCCTGTTGTTCCTTCCTTAATCGACCAAGTCGAGGTCTTTCCACATCAAACACATGTTGGTAAGTTCATAATCTGGTATATTAGGCTTCATACCACAATCTTTCTTTTTAATAATAATAATAATTATTATTATTATTATACCACAATCTTTCTGGTTAATTTTTTGACTGATTGACCCGCAAAATCTCCCAATTAAATCTTAACTCAGTCTTAGAGTCGATGAAATGATGTGTCACACAGCTCTCTGTATGTAAAATTGTATATGTATAATTTCCAACTTTATCCGCATAGTAGTACATACAGTAGCCTATACTCACATAATGCGATATATACTATATAGCTAATCTCAACTGCCTGATTTTTTTATTTAATTGCAAAATGTAACCATACCATCACCCAACTCTTTATATAAAGTTGGATATTTGTAATGTCCAAATGTATTTGCATGCATGTCGTATATTCGTGTAAAGCAATATAGCAAAGTCTAAACTCCCTGATGTTTTATTTCTATACTATATTATCGGCCAGCTCTTTATATAAAGTCGTGTAAGTATGTCCAACTTTTTACGCACACATTCAGTAAATTGACGTAAAACTATTTATATTATATAGCAAATGTCAACGGCTTGATTGCTTGTATCCTCGCAAAATGTGAATTATGCTATGATGATTTCCTCTAAAAAGCAAATAAATTTGACTATTCGTATTTTGAGGTACATCCGAGTTTTCGCAATTTTGTCATTTTCACCAGAAGGATCAGTTGCTGCATTTTGATTTAGTAAAAAAAAAAAATGTTGGTTGCACTTTATTTCACAGAACCTGTTCTTAGTGTACTTACCTGAAAAGTATATATAAGGTAACAACATGGGTTAAGGTTTGGTTTAGGGGTAAGTTCAGTGTTAATGCTTTGTAATTGAAAATAGATCTCATGTCGACTTTAATCTCCATTCAGATGTTGGTGTGTTTCTTCTGTTTAGTGAACGAGGAAAAGCTCAGGAAGGAGATCAGAGAAGGTCTCCAGAAGCTCCTGAACGAGGAGATGAAGATGGCGGAGCGTAATATGCGACAACGGTGAAAACTGATCCGATCGAGATCCTTCAACAACAGACGCAAGTATAGTGAGTTTTAGTGTCTAAACAGTGTTTGTTTCTGTGTGTTATCGTAAGTCTGGAGGTAGAGAAAGCTGAAGCGAAGGCCCAGGCTCAAGCCGCAGCCCGACTCCAGATTCAGGACGAGGTCCAGAAGGTTCTGGATCAGGAGAAGCCGTCTTATCAGCAGACTCTGGCCGATGCCATCAGGAGCGAGCAGTTGAACGCTCAGGAGGATCGTCTCATTACTCAGTATTATGTGAGTCAGCTTCTACACACAGGGTGTGTGTGTGTGTGTGTGTGTGTGTGTGTGTTATTATGTGAAAAATGCAAATATTTCAGTTTTTACATCAGATAGAGGAGAAATGTTTTTTGATAGATAGATAGATAGATAGATAGATAGATAGATAGATAGATAGATGGATGGATAAACGGGTGAGTAGATGGAAGGATAGACGGATAGACGTATTGATAGATAGATAGATAGATAGATAGATAGATAGATAGATAGATAGATAGATAGATAGATAGATAGATAGATAGATAGATGGATGGATAAACGGGTGAGTAGATGGAAGGATAGACGTATTGATTGATAGAATGATAGATAGATAGATAGATAGATAGATAGATAGATAGATAGATAGATAGATAGATAGATAGATAGATAGATAGATAGATAGATAGATAGATAGATAGATAGATAGATAGAAAGAAAGAAAGAAAGAAAGAAAGGAAGAAAGAAAGATAGATAGATGGATAAACGGATGAGTAGATGGAAGGATAGACGGATAGACGTATTGATTGGTAGAGAGAACGATAGATAGATAGATAGATAGATAGATAGATAGATAGATAGATAGATAGATAGATAGATAGACAGATAGATAGATAGATAGATAGATAGATAGATAGATAGATAGATAGATAGATAGATGGATAGATGGATAAACGGGTGAGTAGATGGAAGGATAGACGGATAGACATATTGATTTATAGATAGAACGATAGATAGAACGATAGATAGATAGATAGATAGATAGATAGAAAGATAGATAGATGGATAAACGGGTGAGTAGATGGAAGGATAGACGGATTGACGTATTGATTGGTAGAGAGAACGATAGATAGATAGATAGATAGATAGATAGATAGATAGATAGATAGATAGATAGATAGATAGATAGATAGATAGATTTTGAACTGGTGATGTTTTGCTGTTTAACTCCACTGTCGCTCTTTTTCTTTTCATCTCTCTCTTTCTCCGGATCTGCTCGTGTCTTTCAGTGGATGGAGAGGAAGGTAAGACGCTCTCGCCAACTCGTTCTTTCACTTCTTACAGACGTTTGTGACATTTCTATTGAGTGAGTGAGTGAGTAAGTGAAAGCTCAAGTACAAGTTTAGATGAGTTCAGTTTAATGTTCATAAATGTATCACACACACACAGCCTTTGGTGTAAATTTGACATCACTTTTCAGTTCAGAGGTCATTGTGTAATGCATGTGCCTTTAAACTCTATTTAGTTATTTATGAGAGATTTCCAGGTTGATCCGGTCATGTCGTGTGTGATCTTTAGGCTCAGAAGCTGGAAGAGAAGCAGAAAGATCTGGAAAATCAGGAGTCTCTGTTCCAGAAGCAGATCGCCAAGATGCAAGAAAAGGCAAAATGATTCGTCTCATCTTTGCATATAAATGATATGACATGTATTGACCGTCTCTTTGCTGTCGTACAGGCGGCTCAGTTCACTAAAATCACAGCTGAACATCACAGGAAAGGCTTAGAAGATGCAAACAGCCGCTTCAGGTGAGCAAGCAAGATTAGTTTTACTAATATAGCTTTTATTTTTATATTTTTAGTAGGGCTGTCAGTTAAACGCGTTATTTACGGCGTTAGCGCAAACCTAGCAAACTTTGTAGTTTTTTTTTTCAAATGCTTTTGCAACGGGACGTGGCATGCGCTATGAAACTCATAGATTTCAATGGCTTGCGCCGCGCGAGTACGTTTTGTTGCTTCATCGACCAAAGCACAAGCGGATCTAGCTAGACCGGAAACAAAACAGACTCGTTTGTTCAGGGATAGGTCATTCGTACGAATTCATATGTGTTGGCCAACTTGTAAAATATTTATGATTTAGCGAAAATCATACTAATTCGTACGAGTGAGGTCGTACGAATTGGCCGCCTCGTAAAATCCGTACGAATTGCCGTGAGATCGGGTTGGTCAATCAGTGTTTAGTTTTTCATATGAATCTCTTTCTCTCTCTCTCTCTCTCTCTAGGCGATACCAGATCAAGCCCGTGTGTTTGGATCTACAGAGTCAGATAATGAAGTGTTACTCTGAGAATAAAGGTCAAACTATGAGCTGTTCCAACATCGCATCGCTGTACATTCAGTGTGTGGACCGCGCCAAACAGGTGAACACTCGGATAAACAGGACATGACTTGTATGCAAAATAGCAAACAAAATGCTAATTAAGAAAAGCTTAGAGGACTTTTTGAACTAAGACTGTGGTTGCATTTCTTTCTTTTTTTTTTTCCAGGATAAAAAGTTGAGCACTGGAGGTTAACTAACCGGCCTGAACTTCAGATCTACGGTGTCCATTACAGCAAATACACACATCTAAACCTATTGCGTACTGTACAGCAACACATTTTCCACTGGAAGTTTGTGGGAATTTCATCCCTATAGAAAAAGAAAAGAAAACGTAACACATTAAATGTGCTGTTCAGGAATATGAGCCATGATTGGACCACGCTAGTGAAATACCTCAAACTCTTTAAACTGTGAGCTAAATGATTTCAGGTGCTATCGAGTGCACAGATATAGTTCGGCGATTCAGAAAAATAATGCACACTTATTTTGCATGGCGATGCACAATCTGGAAGCTGCTGTCTGATGATACATTTTTGCGTAGTAAAAATTTGTGCCTTAACCTTGAAATGCTTTTGTTATGGTAATTTGGGGTAAATGTGATTGGCTTTTACCAGCACAGGTTGGATTTCGTTCAAATTAGTCAATGGCAACTCCTATAAAAATGGCTCTTTTCCAGCCTCGGTCGGTTCTTCGCTGTGCAACTTATTTCCACTAGATGGCGCTGAGGTTATTGTAATATTCTTGATGTATTGTGGAACCACGCTGGTCTAGAAGGTTAAAAGGACACTAAAAATTCTGCAATCACATTTTCCCAAGCCTCTGATCAGCAGAATGTCAATAAGTTCAGTGTGAGATGAACACGAGCGGCAGTATTTGCATTTAGAGCTTATTTTCTAGTGTATTATATGAATAGTAGGAAGGGGGCTGTAGTTCTGTCATCATACGAGAATGTGAAATGAATAAGAAATGATGTCCACTGGTGTCCTACATGAGCACACAGTCTAGATTCAGCACAGCAATCACATCCATGCCTTAACCTTCTATTGCATGCATTATGAAAGCATGTTAAATGCTAAATATTCTTGCATAAAAGGGACCTCATTATTGAAATCAAAATCAATAGCCTTGCGTTTTATTACGACGTTAGTTAAAGACTGTCATCGTTTACTCTCAACCTCATGTTCCAAACCCATATGAATGACTTATTTTATTGTGTTGAACATTGCCTATATGTTACTCTTTTTGCATGCATTTAAAACTATTTCAAGTCATGTGAGAAACCAATTGAAAATGAAACTAATTTGCTACAAAATCTTTCCTTTTAACAAGCTGATTGTTTAATCAGTGAGTTGAGCTCAAAATTCACAAATGATGAATCATTAGAAAAAAATCTAGTCAGATTTTGATCTGAGGGTGAGTAATTGATGGCAGCATTTTGATGTTTATGTAAACTATCCCTTTAACCATAGATAGATACGAAAGATTCAAAAATGAAAAACAAATAAAAGCAAAAGTATTCATAGTCGCTGTTTTAATTTCATCCCACAGTTGCTTCTGAACAATAAGTGTTTAAGCAATCATAATGTAGGACTGTAAAGTTGATTGTGCTTATCAGTTCAAGATGATTTTAAAGAATGCTAGGATGTACTGTGACCAAGAAAAGAGTTTAAATTCGTACTCATTTCTTCATTATAACCCGTTTTATATGCATCAGGTGTAGGGTTGGGTATCGAGAATCGAGTATCGATTGGAACCGAGACTAACTTTTCGTTTTTCCCGGAATCGTTCAAAAGTTAAAATTTCGATTCCTAGTTTCGATATTCACAAAAAAATAAAAATAAAAAAAATGTTTCGATATTCACAGTCCGCCGAGCGGAAGAAACCACTGAACAACACCAACGAAGAAGCGTCTACCGGAAGTGTTGGCATAACCACGCGAGTCGAACATGAGTAACTTACGTCGGCGATCCAAAGTGTGGCTTCACTTTTCTAAAAAAAACGATATCAACAAAAGAAGTATTTTTACAGAAGGAGTATTTCCTTAAGAAAGGATTATTTCCTTCAGAAAGGCCGTTGGTTAGCAAGGTTAGCTAAACTTTTTTGACCCTGCCTCTTAAAAGAATCGGAATCGAGAATCGTTAGGAACCGGAATCGAAACTCGGAATCGGAATCAGAATCGTTCAAATTCAAACGATACCCAACCCTAATCAGGTGCTTGTAAAGTGTACAGAATGGGCTTGTTACCCAGAATGCAATAGACGGCTGTTTGCAAACCTGAAACCACGACGCACTCCTGGTTCCCTTTATCCTTAAATCTAGCTCGACATGAGCAAACCAATATGATGAAAGATCTAACGGGTGACATTTACAAAACCCTTGTGGTACATTGACTGTTTACACAGGGCTTGATGATTCTCAATTACAGTTTTATAGGATGATCTGAGAGGTGCGAATGTTATGAGAGTGAAGTGTGACGAAAGGTCATATTGAACGGCTGGTTTAGTTGTTTGGAGTGCCGTCACTTGGACCGAGGCAGGCAGAATAGATTATAAAACGGTAAAACCCAACTGTTTAACTCTGTGGGAGTTGTAAAATGAGCCTATTTCCAAAAAAAGTGGAGTATCCCTTTTGTGGTTCTTAAATGTATAATTAACGGTGTAGCGACACCATATCTTTGTCTCAAACTTGGCCCTTTTAAATAGTGTGCAATTTACCTGTCATCCAGTCTGATCCAGTCAGAGATTCCTTGAATGGTAAATTGTACTGAACAAATTACTTAATGTTTTCGTTTTCATTTATTGTAAAACATAGTTCGGTTCCAAATCTTTAATGACACGTTGTTTTATGAGTAAGCAGACAGTGATGTCACATGGGTCAAGTACTGTGTTCATTTTGAGTCAAAAGTTGTATAAATCAAGAATAGCTCCACAAGATTCAGGCGATTGTAAATCCTTTTGATTGAATCATTTAAAGGGATATTTCACTTTGAAATTAATTTTTGATATGTTTTATCTTCCCTCAAGGGCATCCAAGATGTAGGAGTCTTTGTTTTCCACAGTATTTTCAATTTTGACATTTTTCAGTCAAATTGTTGTTGTCTCTCAGTCATACACTGGAGGCTAAGGGGGTCCACCAAAGAGCAGCACAGAGAAGTCCAAATTAAACATGATTTAATGACTCGTAAATGTAAGTACACATTGATGGCCTAAGACACGAAACGAGCGTTTTGTGTGAGAAAACGAACAGTATTTATATCGTTTTTACGTAGTGTAATCCAAGTGATCTGAATCAGTTGTGCAATGTCCAACTGAACCGAACTGAATCAGTTCAATGTTACGCCGTCGTTTTGACACTTATATTTCGTTCTATAGCTTCATCCCAGTGTTATTGTTAACCAAAACTAAATCGTTTTCATTAACTGAAATAAAATTAAAAATAGAAATATTAGATCAAATGAAAATGTTTACTTGGCAATTAAATACGTTTAAGTTGAAGTAATGTAATTAATAATACTAAAAGTGAAATAAATAGAAAAGCTATTAAGTGAAGCAAATGTGTATAATTATAAACAAAACTGAACTGGTTCTTGAGTTTCATGTGAATCGATAAAGCGGCATATGTCCATTTCGTTCTTGACAACACAGAATAATTCTCACTGAACGCACAAGGACGGATGCTCTCGTAATGGTGCACAATAGACCTCTAAGAGCTGGGAACATTTTCATTAATATGCAGATTTAGTGAATGGGAGCGCTTAACTTTTTTGTGAATGCAAAATGAGGGACGTTTTGTCCTTGACGACAGCAGTGCCGAAATAAACCAGACGTTTCCTCAGATTTGACAGCATATGTCTTCCCTTCTTTTCTTTGCATATCATGAGGCTTTTACAACTTGTTTGTTACCAGCTTTTAATTTGCGGTCTGTCACTCATGACACACCTAAAGACTTGGCGTACAGTGCAAGAGGCGACTTTTGTAAGTGCTTTTGGTGTTTGTTAATGTTTGGAGCTTTACATATGAATTTCTGTGTATTGATTCGTCAATAATTCTCCTTTTTTGTTCCACAGAAATCATAATATTCTCATATTCCTGCACAAGATGACTTCAGCTTGGAAGGAAAAGCAGCCATCGTGGCGGGTTAATGTTCACAGCATCTGCGTTCGTGTCAAAGAGCTGATGGATTTCATCTTTCCCCCCTCCTAGTTTATTACAAATACATGTATACACAGGCTACAAGTCATAATAGAGGTACATAACTGATCAAGAGTATGTACAAATCCCATGTATTTACATTACATACAGTGATTTATAAAGGACATGCATCTTGTAACTGCTGTAGTATCATTCTATGAAACCTATGATATTATATTCCAAGTTAGTTATATAAATAATATGATTATTTGATACCTACGGAGGCGTATTGCATTCACTTGAAGAAGAAAAAATGTACTCTGTTTTTCTGAATTAACGAGTTAATTTTCCATGAGAAAAAAAATTTTGCTCTGTTTTTCTGAATTAATGAGTTATTTTTTTATGAGAAAAACGTTTTTGCTCTGTTTTTCTGAATTAGCGAGTTAATGTTTCATGGAAAAATGTTTTTTTTTGCTTGGTTGTTCTGAATTAACGAGTTAATTTTTCATGAGAAAAAAAATGTTGCTCTGTTTTTCTGAATTAATGAGTTAATTTTTCATGAGAAAAAAGTTTTTGCTCTGTTTTTCTGAATTAACGAGTTAATTTTTCAAGGAATTTTTTTTTTGTTAACTCAGAAAAACTCATTAACAAATTTTTTTTCTCAAGAAAAATTAACTCATTAATTCAGAAAAACAGAGCAAATTTTTTTTTCTCATGAAAAATTAACTCATTAATTCAGAAAAACAGAGCAACAACTTTTTTTCTCATGAAAAATTAACTCATTAATTCAGAAAAACAGAGCAAAAACTTTTTTTCTCATGAAAAATTAACTCATTAATTCAGAAAAACAGAGCAAAAACTTTTTTTCTCATGAAAAATTAACTCATTAATTCAGAAAAACAGAGCAAAAATGTTTTTTCTCCTGAAAAATTAACTCATTAATTAAAAAAAACAGAGTACATTTTTTTTTCTTCAAGTGAATGCAATACGCCTCAGTAGATACCTGCTCATGTACGACTAATATTCACATCACGTGGTTCCCTTTATGGATAACAGTGCTTTTATGAAAACGAGGTTGCAAAGTGGCTTTAATCGGCATCTTCCGATGATAGGCATTTCTGCCTGGCTTCGTGATCGTCAAACGTCACTTTCTTATTCCGTTTAGGGTCGATCCAGGAGTTTCGAATCACTGCATTGTTCGGCAGCGGATCCGCCTCGATGATGGACACCACCCGTTTCTTCATTTTACTCTTCAGGACTTTCTGAAACTTCTGCCTTGTGAAGGCATACAAGAGCGGATGGAAGACCGTGGTGCCGTAGGCCATGACCAGAAAACCCATTCTGAGCTTGACGGTGAGGTCGCTGGGGCCTGCGCTGAGAATCACAGTGTTTAAAACGGTAATGGGCGTCCAACAGAGGAGGAACGTGGAGATGATTAGCAACGACATGCGGAAAACGCGCTTTTGGCGCTCACGGCGTTCCCGGTGGCGTTTGACGGCCCGCCGTAGGGCGATGATCACCGAGACTGACGTGCGCATGCCGAGTGGAGCGTTTCCGCGGTTTCCGGCGCTGCTTTGCGAGGCGTCTGTGATCTCGGGAAGCTGTTGTTCAGATGTCGACATAAGAGAGAAGTTCTTTTTCCTCCTCATCTTCTTCTTCTTCTTCTTCTGCGTGGCATGGAAGCGCGTGCCAATGCGGATGTTGAGAGCCTGCAGGATCTTCGCGTATGTCATTAGCATTATGACGGCAGTCAAACAGAAAATGGGGATTTGCGCCACTAGGTGGTAGTACAGACCGAGTTCGGTGTAATACTCGTTTACGTGCACGACGGCGGTCTGATTTGCTTTGGTGGGCTCCGGTCCCAAGAATCCCACTTCGATAAATGGCACCAAGAAGCTAGCAAAGGACAGCACCCAAATGCAACCCAACAGAGCCACCGCTCGTCCCATGGTCAGCACGCGATTGGCGGGTTTAACGGAGATGTCGTAGCGGTCCAAAGTGATGGCTAGCACGTTAGCTGCCGTAGCCACGCTAGCGAAAGACACGCAGGCCTCGTGGAAGCAGCACACGAGCACCGTGTCGCTTTGCAATGACAGCATTAGCACGACGATGGTTAGCGGGATGCAGCAAACGCACACCAACACGTCCAGCACGTGCAGGTTCATGGTGACGATGTTGCTAACGGAATTGACCAGGTTGGACTTCATGCAGTAGAGCGCCAACACGGTCAGGTTGCTGCTCAAGCCCAGGACAATCTCCAGCATGAGGAATCCAGTCAGGGACACCTGGAAGCTGAGCGGGTACGGGATCGGGCCGGCCGCCGCCGCCATGGCGGGACTCACGGCCTCGGTGATGTCAAGGACGGTAACGTTACTCATGGTGCTTTCTTCCTCCGTTGAGGGAGGGACGTGCATTATCCTGAAAGGTAAAAACAGCGGGATGCACAGTCAGAGAAACGTAGAAAGACCAGGCGCGTTTAAACAGCATTGTTTCATTCGGAATTTAATGTCTTGAAGATGAATCGATAGCTTGAATGATGGATGGATGGATGAATGATTAGATAGATAGATAAAAATGGATACAATTCAGTAAATACTTCTTCCTTTCATTCCAATTCGACTTCCTGTCGACTGTAACCAATTTATTTCAAATTCACACTCGTTCACTCATTTCAATTCTGACTTTTGTACAACCTTCTTTGTTATGGCGCTTTTCCATTTCCAGTACCAACTCGACTCGGCTCGCTTTTCGCACCGTTTTCCATTGCAGACTACCGCCACAAATAGTACCCGGTCGTCATAGCAACGCCTTTCGTTCCTCGCTGCCCCATCAATCTCTCGCTGGATCCTCTCTTCGGCCACCCAGACTGATCTCATGAAGTAGCGTGTGTATGACACGCCAATTCGTATTTCCATTTTTGGCGTGCTATCAAGACGCATAATCGCTTTTCAGCGTGTTTATGAACACAGTTGACTTAACGTTATTACTGTATATATAAATAAATATATGACTTACCTCAACCCTGTCCCTAAACCTAACCGTCACTGGGGTTAATGGCATTTATGACTGTTCTCTCACCATCCTTGGAAAGTAAAAGGGGTCTCCCCAGATGTAGATCTACATTTTGCTTCGTTTCGCGTGGACATTTGACGGCGTGTACAGACACGCGGAATCACTCGGACGTTAATGGCGTAGACATACACGCGGATAGCTCAAAATGCGTAGAGATAACACGCCACTTGACTCGAAAGTGGCATGTATGTTTACGCAAAAGCCATGATGTCATGTTGCGAGTTGCCATAATAATAGTAATAAGTTTAGAAACTATCTCCGGCCAAACTATTTAAAGGGGTGATGAACTGAGAAATGAAATTTTCCTTGAGCTTTTGACATCTAAGAGGTCATCATATTATAAGAATATCCTGTAAGTTTCAGAACTGAAAACGTCCTTGTTAGTCCAATAAAAGCTTTTATTGACACCAGGCTTTGAAAACGACTCTGTTTTGAAAAGTGGGAAACTGACGTCGAAGGGGTTAAAACACCACCCCCGCAGAAGAAGATCAACACCTGCTTCAACACGGCCGGTTTAGCCCCGCCCACAGATTCGCGCATTACACGCATAGCTAAGTAGCCTAACATACATGCCTACCTCGTGATGACAAACCGGTTCGTTCTACCGAGCAGTACAGAATATTGTGGAAGAAGACAGTCGCTGCATAAGCTTCCTCTGGATTTCAATAGGACTGCATGGATAAACTTTATTTTTAATGACGTTCCAGCTGATGAGGGTAAAACATCGTCCATCTGTTCGCTTCATTTCACTGAGGATTGTTTTGTAAACAAGACTGGATTTGCAGACCGATTAAGAATAAAGAACGGTGCTGTGCCGTCTATATTGGATCTGACAGGAATTGTGCTACAAGCGGACTCTTGGTTGAACATGTATGGGCGAATCCGGTTGCCATTTGACAACATTGGACGTTTCCCCCACGTACACCGACGGGTGAGTTAAACTCATTATAATATGCAAAACTGTTGTCCACTCACAGCAGTGGGCGTTTTTTTCAAGTCTTCAGTGCGACACGCCCATAAAAACCGACCGTATTTCAGGAAGGCTCACAACTTGGGTACAAAATAGCCTATTAGCCTATTCTAAACTGTTTTAATTATTCTGACTTCTTTAATTTCTTCCATGTAAAGCACTTTGAATTGCCACTGTGTATGAAATGTGCTATATAAATAAACTTGCCTTGCCTGTTACTTATTCATTTTGATGTTTTTGAATGCAAAAACCAAGCGAACGTCATAAGTTGACCTCAGACAACAATATAATAAAATTTTAAAAGCCAGTTCATGACCCCTTTAAAAATAGCGGGGATATTCTTGACACTCCATTTGGCGTGTGCAATGATGACGCAGTGAAATTGAATGGTGACGATTCTCTCTGACCAATCAACAGTCGGCATTGTTTTCACGTCACATTTTAGTATCGCTTTAGCTCGCTTATAACCTCGCCGGAGGTGCTACTAAAAAAAGTACCCGAAAGCAGGAACAGCAAACAAAGTCGAGCCGAGCTGGTACTGTGTAGTGGAATCCACTACTAATCTAAGAAAAGAACAAATTAAGTTGTCTGTAATGGCCACAATAAGACTTATTGGGCATCTCACTTATTGAGACCCCCAAAAAAACATTAGATTAAGGAATCTGTGGTAGATTTCTGCTGGATTCGAATCACCACCGAACATACTAAGTTCTGTATGTCGTACTTGTTCAGATTCCCTATGGGCCTGCTAATGGCCTTACATCTGAGGATCCTGTGCACGTTGACTAATAATGCATTGGTTATGCACTCGGTGCTGCTATGAATAGACTCACTTTAGGCATTATTTTTTTGTCCACAATGCATTTTCATTTGTTGCATTTGTTGTGATGGATTGCTCCATTTGCAAATGTGACTGTCTTTAGTGCTGCGTTTCATTCATCACCGTGAGAGGATTGTCGAGATAAGTATTAAACTGGCTTTTGTAATTTACTCCATGTAGATGGATGCATCAAGGTGCCAACTGGGTACTAATAACTCTTTTTTTGTTGTTGTTTTCATGTAGGCTGAGTGAAACCATATGGAAACTCAAATGACTTCATGAGCTAAAACACAACACCTCAACAGATCATCAAGCTTGTTTTCTGGACGTCGAAATACATTGACGACTAATGACAACCGTACAATAGTTTATTCAGCACATTAGTTGACTCACCCTTCCCCTTCCAGGTTTTTTTCTCAGCCTCGGGAGTCAGCAGTCGAGACGGGAGAGTCTGGAAGGGGTGCAAGTTGTACATCAGCCCCAGGCATGGCCTTTCAAGGAAGTCTTCTGCACTTCTTAATCCAAGCAAATCTCTCTTAATGATCAGGGATGATGTTTTTGTACTAAACCAATTGATATGTTTGGTCTCCTGCCATGTCCAAACCTAACAAAGACTTGGCATTCCCGTTTTCTTCAACGCACCGATTGAGTCAGAGAACATGACAAGTGATTTAGAGATAAACCGTCCATTTTAATTTTTCAAACCACCGAAAGCAATTGTTTTCGATTAATTATTATATCCACGTCAGGGTTATCGCTCGATACCATCAGCACGGTCCTTCACTGCTGACATATTCCACTTATTGCAGTTTCATGAGCCCTAGAAGGTGATAAATCCATATTGATTTGCTGATTTGCATGTGCCATCTGGTGAAGAATCCAAGGTCGCTGAATTGTTTAGGTTGGGGAATTGGCGACGTAATTTCCAGTCCCCTTACAGAAGGTCACCTTCAGGTTGCGTTATCAATGAAGCCCATGATAAAAACTTTAAACATCCGTGGTGAAATCCCCTGGGAAATCCACTCTTCCTGAGAGATGGCACTTCAGTTTGATTCCACAATCCTAACAAGAAAAAAGAAGCAGAGAAAAAGTGTTGATAAGTGAACGATCAATTATTCATTAAGCCTGCATCCAATCCGTCATCAAGTAAGGACATTCATGTGTTATCCATTCATCTTTTCCAAGCGGTCTGCGGAAACGCACAAGCTCTGGTCTTGCTTAACGTCCATGTGAAGGTACAAGTAACATCTGGCTTGATGGATGGGCCCGTGCATCTACAAACACTCGTTTCCCGAGCAATACCTTTTAGGGACGGTAACGCAATCACCTGTGTTGTTTTACGTCTGTACTTTCTCACATCATTTTTCAGTCAACGGCCATGCGAGAATATGCCTGGATCACGTGTAACGAGGTGGTCGTGTTCCAGCCGTGAATGAGGTTTTACACTAAATTTTTCCCAGATGTTACAGTCCAGCAGAGGGGAAACCCGTAAACAGAATCGATTGGGTATCGGGGGTGAAATTTGTCAGCGGAGACGTGGATCAATAGACTAACTAAAGTTAATCACAAATATTCAGATGGGGTTTTCAATGACAAATCCTTCAATCATAAAGGATCTTACAAAACGCCCCTTCTATCCTTCATTTTGCTGATTTATTTGAATTGTATTGTCTCTCTAGGGCGACTCTATTCCAAGTTTCGACATTTGCTCTTTTGATTGAACCAAGCATGCATTTTTTTTTCACCAAAGTTATTCAATATCACCAGCTTACCTTTGCGCTCCCAGAGTTCTCATCTGCCATGCAACGTAGAGCATCACCGAAGCATCACCTGCTGAGATCCACAAGTGCACAGACTTTTGCATGTCAGCGAGTCGTAAACCCGAATCAAATCCCGTCCGTGCGAACTGTCTTCAGTGGCAGTGGAGTGAGTTTGATCTGTGTCTTTCACTGTCTTGCTTCTTGTCTACACTCTCTCTTCGAACTGTGATGCATTGAAGTGTTACCGATGCTCCTCCGAAACCTTGCTTGTCCCCCCTCTCTCCTTCTCTATCTTCGTCTCCCTCTCTCACTCACTGCGGCGGTTTTGCAGTGTTGCTCTCTGCTCTGATTGGTCTGCCGTAATGGGGTTAACCCTTTCCTCCCCACAGAGTGGGGATGCACTCTTTTGTTTTCTTGTCGTTCTCTCCATCCTGCGATGGAAGCGCAGTCTCGGCTGCATCTGTCAGTCCCTGCGGAGATGCTTTGGTTGCTATTTAAACACTGTGTCAGAGTTGCATGTTTTCATTCATATTTGATGCCGTGCCTCTGTGATGAAAATGGATATGTGTCTACTGGGAAAAGGACACTAAAAGAATGTGGCTGTGTTATAAACCTAGTGAGCTGTCTATGTTATGGTGCAAAGGGAGTTTTTTAAGACTATTACTTCTGTGATTCTTCATTTTGGCTGAAACAGCAAAATGTGTCCAGTATCTATAAAAACTATACATGCACTGATATAATAAGCCGATAATTATTTCGGTATGTTACGACAGGTGAATTTAAGCATCACAACATTACAATGTACAGAATGAAAAAAAAAGATAGATTTAAAAAAAAATAGTTATATAATGATATTAAATATGTATTCCGATTCATTTTAAGATTAGCTAAAGATTACATTGTGTCAATGTTAGAAAAATATTAGTATTTTTTTGAAGATGAACATTTAGCAAGTAGATGTAATATTACATATCTAATATCGACCGATGACCAATATGAACAATTTAAAAATCAGATTAATTAAAAATACATGATCTTTCGCAACATATTTTCGTATAACATATTGTATTTTATATGTGGTTAATGTTAAAGGGATAGTTCACTTTGAAATTAATTTTTGATATGTTTTATCTTACCTCAAGGGCATCCAAGATGTAGGAGTCTTTGTTTCCACAGTATTTTCAATTTTGACATTTTTCGGTCAAACCGTTGTTGTCTATCAGTCATACACTGGAGGCTAAGGGGGTCCACCAAAAAGCAGCACAGAGAAGTCCAAATTAAACATGATTTAATGACTCGTGAATGTAAGTACACATTGATGGCCTAAGACACGAAACGAGCGTTTTGTGTGAGAAAACCAACAGTATTTATATCGTTTTTACCTCGTGTAATCACAGTGATCTGAATCAGTTGTGCAATGTCCAACTGAACCGAACTGAATCAGTTCAATGTTACTTTACGCCGGAAGTGATCGCTTGCGTGTGACGTCACTCAATATTTACGCGGAGATTTCGTAAGTTTTACCTTTTACTAAACATATTTAGATATACCGAAATCGTCTTCCATTGTGGTTTCCCGTATATCTAAATATTTTTAGTGAAAGGTAAAACTTCCGAAATCTTGAGTGACGTCGGTGCGCAAGCGATCACTTCCGAGACCGAAGCGCCCGTGCCGTCAGATCATTTTGTCATGGCTATGATTACACGAGGTAAAACGATATAAATACTGTTCGTTTTCTCACACAAACCGCTCGTTTCATGTCTTAGGCCATCAATGTGTACTTACATGTACGAGTCATTAAATCATGTTTGATTTGGACTTCTCTGTGCTGCTCTTTGGTGGACCCCCTTAGCCTCCAGTGTATGACTGACAGACAACAGCAGTTTGACTGAAAAATGTCAAAATTGAAAATACTGTGGAAACAAAGACACCTACATCTTGGATGCCCTTGAGGAAAGATAAAACATATAAAAAATTAATTTCAAAGTGAACTATCCCTTTAATGGGAAAGTCGAGTCTAACATTAATTTTACAAAGTTGAGCGCTATTTATATGACGTAAGAATAGCTGCCTATCCATAAAATTATTCAATTAAAACCAACTTTAGGCAGTAGGCAGCTCACTGATTTGAATCCGAGCATGTGTGTTATATTTAGATGATGGGAACACTTAGCGTGTGTGTGTGTGATAAGTAGAGGAATTGTGATTGATAGTTTCAATTAAACCGGCCTGTCAGCTGGCAGAAGGAGCAGTCTTTCTCTATTCATTTTGTTTGGCTCATTTGGCAGGTAAGGGTGGGCGTCGACAGTGACAGTCGTAACGAGAATATGTGCGTGTTCATATTTGAAGCACTTGTTGGCGTGCAGCTCTTCTGAGACACACATGTTGTTTTATTAAGTAGTAAACAGCCGTCTATAGACACGGCGGCAAAACTTTTCACTAAAACCAGGCTCGATATTTCAGCTGCCATTAATATTTCAGCATGCTTTCCCAGCCGCCTTCCAACACTACTTCAAAAATAACATGGTACATATCCAAATTACATATCTCAATTTACCATTGAACACGGAGCAATATTCAACGTTGATGTAATTACCAATGAAACAGGAAGACAGGGCGGGACATATCGAATAACTCCACCCCTTTTTTTAAAATAACCAATAGCGTTTGAGCTCGGTAAAGCTGCAGTTTCCTCCTAATCCCTAGTCACACGGACCCTTGGCTGAACATCTGATGCGTGTGGCACACTTTTCTGGAAACGCTTCTGGAGTTTCAAAGTCGCGATCTGATTGGTTGAATTCTACAGGATGTCCGCCGGGAGACGCGTGTGTCGCTTTCTTTAACAGTCCAACTGGTAACAAATGCTATGACGCTAAAAACACGTTGTGAAGAACGCCGTTGAGTTTACAACTTGACGAGCGATGGATTTTTAAAATTATGTGAAGTTCGGTGCTCCATTGCTGCAGTAAACGTGCACATTCTTGAATAAATAATTTATTAGATGCACACTGGTCTGTTATTGTAGAGACATCGACATTATATTTTCATGCCCCTAAACATGATGTGGAACAAAACGAACTGTCATTGGTTGCGTTACATACCAGACCAAGAAAAGCTGCAAGAGAGTCCCGTCACCTTCAGTGAGACTACCTAATCTCTAACATTTCATCTCCTAATCTCCTTCCAATCACTTTAAAATACGGCATACTGTGCAGAACTCAAATGGGTCCAATATGTTTTCTGGTCTGCGCCGTCGATATCGTGCCATCGTGTCTCTGGACCGGCTCGCGTGACACTTTATTCGCCTCAATGGAATGCATATTTCAAATCATATCGTTCCTTATTCCCTATGTAGTGCACATATGTGCCATTCACCATGTAGAAAACAGTAAATGTGTGAACCAAGCGTGCCGCACAAGCCCTCAAAAATGAACCGAAAACGTCTCGATCGCCCCCCAGTGGCCGGTCCTAGTATAGGTCATAAACGGGACGTTATCCAACTAAACGATTAAAGTACGCTTCACGTATCCTTTATCCAAAGAAAGTTTCTGTCATTTACTGTAGTTTCTATCACGTTGATGTAATTTCAAGTGCTCGTTTTTTAAAATAAGTTTGTTTTTAGTTTGTTGCTGTGACGTCATGATTGACGGCTGTGATTGACAGGTTCTCTGTGCAGGGTAGTCACTGAAACACCAGCGGACCACCAGTGGTTCGTAGTTGTATTTACCTTATTTTAACGAGGTTCTGCAATCAGCAGACACCATTGGAGAGGAAAAGTGCGGGGCGTGTGCTTGCGTTTGATTCAGCGAGAGTGTGGGCGGGGCCTTGATTTCGCGGCTTTACTTCCTGCTCATGACTGCGCATGTCTGGTCCCGAAAACGTGAGTTCGCAGATGTCAGCGCCATATCGGGACACTGGCGACTTCACTTCAGTTCTCTCCGATGGGAAAGAGCGAAGGGGCGTCGTCCATGTTTTTTTTTTACAGTCTATGGTGTTAACAAGTGACCGATTTCAACCGCAGCATCAGTGTCTATTGATAATGTAGGGGGCTTCATATTCTAGAGAGCATTTGATTGGACAGAAAATCTGATGAGAAGCTGAAGTGCCGTGATTTCATCAAAATCATTGATCCATATTGGCGGAAGTGAGAGACTTCAAGTTTTGAATGCTTATATCTTCTAAATGTGATTTTTGTCATTGTTTTGGATCACACTGATTTTTAGATGTCAATACGGCTTCCATACCCAGATAGCAGACTGACATTGAATCAACGTGGAAATATGACATCGAAACAACGTTGATCTGACATTGTTTTGCTCATCGAATTAACGTTGAACCAACGTCAGACGCGTCATTCTTTCAAAACTAACGGAAAATCAACTTGAAATCAACGCGTTGTTTCAACGTTATGAAAGCAAACCAATTTTCGATTTCATTTAGCTTTGAAGAATGCCGCGTCTGACGTTGGTTCAACGTTAATTCGATGAGCAAATCAACGTTGTTTCAATGTCATGAGAGACGTCGTTTCCACGTTGATTCAATGTCAGTTTGCTATCTGGGATATTCATACTAAAAATTCACTTTTTTCACTTTAAGTCACTTGCCAGACATCGAGTCGACTGGGAATAGCAGCACTCAAGCGCTGTTTCGATCCGTCTATGTGAGCAGAACATCAAAACCCCAATAGGACGTTTGATATTTCGTGCGAGAGGGTCATTTTCGCAGGCCTAGAAATCAGCTTGAGAAAGGCAGAGATCTCCGCAGAGCTCTTTTATCTCGCTCCAACAGTGCCACTCGTGCTCTTTGCAGTCGGAGTGTGTGTGCGGCAGAGTCCCGGTAGATTAACACACCGCTAATAGAGCCGCCCGCCTTTGTGTTACTGAAGTGGCGGTAGTGTTTTAATCACTCGCCTCTTAATACGCACAGTAAATCTGAACACTTTCTTGGCTGGAGCAGCGAAAACCAGAGAGAACTGGAGAAGAAAATGTTTTACATTTTTATGTGAAAGATATAGGCTCCCAAAAGGATGTAGCCTACATTTAAGTGTCCTGAGGTAATAATCCTTTTAACGACTTCAGATGCCCTACAAGTACATCAACCAGTGCAGATTAACGTATTCGTTTTGAGTTTATTGCTATGTCGTTTATTTTGACGCTGGCTGCTGTTGTGGTTTAATTTAAAGCTGTCACCCTATTCAAAGTTAGTTTTTAGTCATCTGATAATTTCATATATAACGATTCTGCTCCCTTCAATAGATTCAGTGTAATTTTTTTAACAACTGCTGGTCTAAAAGTTATCATACATCGGTATAGCTCGCTATATCTCACAAAAACAGTTATAAGAAAGTTAAAAATATTCCCGCTTAGCGGCGTCAGACACGTCTGTGTTTATTGGTGCGTTTTCTTACGGTCTTTCAACCCGTTAATAGCTTAGGTTGCATTAATTCTGAGATTACATTAATTGTTTGTCCAGTTTTTAAAACCCTTCAGTCCATGTTGTTATTCTTTTTTTTTTTTTTCATTAATTGACACTTTGGTGTAGTTTTGCATCCATTGTTATACAAATCATTCATTTATTTGTACGCACGTGTTGTTTCCATCCTCTTACTTTAGCGCAATCTCTGTGCAATCAATAAATGATAATTGTTCGTGGGCCTCCGCTAATGTACTTATACTCCATAAGATGTTTAAGCAAACAAATCACTCATCTTTGTTTGCGTTTATGACACTCTCAATCTGATTTGTGAGCGATACCATGTAGCCTGAAGTGATTCATCTTTATTGTTGAAGCTTGTAAATGTGATAATATGGCCAGCGAGGCAAGACTGTTTTGTCTGTATGTAATTGTGGCCTCTATCGTTCCCCCTGTTGTCTCATTGCATCATCTGTTGTTATTAACATGTGCTCTGATGTGTTTTGTGTCATCAACTGGTTATGAATTAAAGCTGGTGAGGTCACATAATGACTGAAGACCATCGCTTGTCAATTAAGAACTATAGTGGAAGGTAATTGTTGTTATTGTCAAGTAATTGATGGGTTTGTACGACTAGTTTCCTTCACAGATAGCTAACATGCAGCTTCCACATCTATGCATCATTTCCTCTTTGTTTTTTGGATCAGTGCTAAAAAAGCTCCATGAATTTGTAACTATTTTTTTTTTTAGAAAGACAGAAAGAAATATGAAATTGGCCAATCACTGCAAATTCATAAATGTGAGGGAGGGCTTGAATGCAGCAATGATTTAGTAAATCCGGAGAACAAATCCTACCTGAAATCATATGGTTATTATGTTGCAAATGATTGCATTTTAAACAAATTGAGGTGGATGCAATTTCAGTTTATTAGATGAAGTAAATCTGCTTCTTCTGAGGCCTTTTGTTGGTTTTATCTGGTCTCACCGCCTGCATGCTCAACTACTATACAACTGGTAAATGTCCCAAACCTCTTGAAATCCTTCAAACCAAACCATCTTGTTGCAAACCATGCTAAATCTGGTCTTCAACCTTGGGGTCACCAGTTATGCAGGTGAGGTCAGTTATGTTTACAGTATATTTTCATCTTTTGTGGGCCAGTTTCTATGCATAAATATAAAATATCTGGCTTATTTCATCCTTAAACTGTTCAGTGAAATAGCATTATTAAGCTATTTTAAACATTCATTCGATTTATGCAATTCAACACTACGGTGCATCCCTGGAGAAATTTTGGAGCCATAAAAGCTGCTGATAGTGTCTGCTAACAATAGTGCAAGGCCAGATTCAGCACATCACTGCCAATGTTGGATAGCGGCGCTGACATGCAACAGTGAACTTCCCATTAGAAAAGGTAAGTGATTTGTTTTAGTATTTGTGAAAGAGGCAGTATCAATATTGACTGATTGATTAATAGTAAAATGAGTTATTATTAAGAATGCATTTTTACAGGTATGTGTAGTAGTTTAATGCAGGGGAGAATGCTGATAATAATCATTTTTCTCCCAGCAAAATAATGTTGTAATTTTGACAAATGCATTGATATTTAAATGCATTCAAATAGTAGAGTACAATTATTGTATTCCAGCATACACCAAAAGAGACAGAGAGTCACTGCAAACCCCTTGACTTCCTGTTTGAGTTGCATGTTTACATTAGCTTGTTAGCGTGAGAAAGGACAGGTCCGCTGTTTCAGAACGCAGCAGACATGCTCCAGAGGACATCGGTCAGAGATTCACAAGAGAAACTGCTATGTCATGCATTTGAAAAACTGGGGTTCGCCACGCTCGCTTTAGTGTTACAAGGCCCGTTACGAAACCTATGATCCGTGCTGCTGTCTAACACACCCTGTACACTGACATGCGAAACCCAAATACAACCAATAATTAACTCAATTATTTGTGGTCTACACAACAAAATTTAGTTTTTCTCTTAAACTTGATGTCTTTGCTTTCAATTTAGGTAATTCTCTAAAAAAAAAATGCAATATAGATTAAATTATGTGAACCACTCAAGTTGTCCAATGATTTTTTTGATGTTGACTTACATGAAACTCCAGTTCCCAGCATGCATTGCATGAGACTTGATGGGGAGGGTAAAAATTAAAAGTATTTTTTTTTTGTGGTTTTGAACAAGATGAGAAATTATCTCAGAATTACGAGAAAACTTTTCATAGGAAAAAAGTTTTTGCTCTGTTTTTCTGAATTAATGACTTGATTATCTCAAAAATTCATAAAAACAGAGTGAAAACTGTTTTCCATGAAAAGTTATCTCGTAATTCTGAGATAATTAACTTGTTAATTCAGAAAAACAGAGTAGATTTTGTTTCCTCAAGTGAATGCAATACATTTCCGTATATAGCAGTTGAAAAACAGTGTGTGAAAAAAGTAGTATGTCCAAACTCACAGTAGTAACAAAACAGACGCAATATATATGTGTGTATATATATATATATATATATATTTGAATGAAGTTAAACCTATCAGGGAACAATCTAAAATCCATTCAGAACGACTTCATTCGATGATGTTGAAGTTACTGAATTGTAGTATTGACATAACTGAACAAATTATGCTTGTGTTACTTAATTGATTCACGTTGAACCGATGTAAATGGTTGAATCATGTAGATCCACACTTTTCGTCTTACAAATTGCACTCCTGGGAAGAGAACGGGAGACTATAGATTTTAGCGTTGTCATTGGTATTGCCTTTTCCGCACAATCCACATAATTATAATCTTTTTCGAATTGCATATATGTTTATAATCCCTTACGAAAAAGAAGTTTATTTCAAGTTCATTTTATGTAGTATACTTAAGTAATGTTCAAGTATATTTTTAACTATACATTATGTAGTAAGTATACTAATGTCACTACTAGTAGTATACTTGTAAGTGTACTATTTTAAATTGGACCACTTTTAGTACATAAAAGTATATGTTTAAGTGTGCTATAAGTGTAACAGTAAGTGGTTCATAATTATGTATCTCATGTGTACTGCAAGTGAATTTATGGGTATACTAGTAGTTTACTTTTTTACTGTAATACTTATACTTTGAATACTTAATTATACTTTTAAGTATTTCTGGATCAAAAGATTGAGTACAAGACCAGGACAAATATACTTGCTTTTCTCTCAGTATAAGTCAAGTACACTTAATTGTAATTTGAAGTATATTTCTGAGAAGTACATTCGGAGAAGTACAGGAAAAATAAATTGAAAGTAGGCTATACTTTCTTATTTTTAGTTTAAAAGAAGTATACTAATGGCACACTTGAATAAACTTCTTTTTCGTAAGGGATGCTTCCGTATCTCAGTAGGTTTCAAAATGGAGCCAAAAACGCTTAAGTTTTGCTAAATTTAACCACTTTGATTGACACCACCAAGGTTTATTTTTTGATCTAACAGATCTGTAAGCACAACTCCAGGTCATTGAACGTCGAGTGAATGTTTGTACGAGAATCACAGTTGTTTGTCCTGGCCATATAAAATATGTCGCATATTTATTTTTTCTCCCAGGGACCCTAAACAACACACTGTGCGCTGCGGGATCATCCGATGGTTATCACGTGACGGTCACTTGAACGTTTGGGACGTGGACTCATCAATCACGGGCCCACGTGCGGCCCAAACCCGCCGCCTCCCGCCGGGAGGTTCTGAAGATGCGACGTGCTGTTTGTTTTTCCTCATCGAGAGAGCTCTTCTCTCGGAGAACCAGAGGAACTTCCATGTAAACATCGGACGTGTGAACATCGGATGCAGAGAAGAAGGTCTGCCAGTTTCTCACGCTGAAATGCATCAGTAGTTGTCAGGACTATAATTCTCCTCTTGAAGTGACATTAGCATTTAGTGTCCTACTGACAGACTGACTGATCTCTTCCCCGGGCCGGTGAAGAGTGATGACGGATGTTAGCGATGCCGCTGCGGTCTGAGATGTTCTTCTTGGCCCGCTCTAGTGTTTTGAATATGTGGTTTATTTTTGGGAAATATAATAATAATTGAAAGCCGTTTTACTCTTTTATTTGGTGCTCAAGACTTAGATAAGTAATCTAGTCCAGTGTACATACCAAAATGTGTGTTATCTGTGGCGAAAATCAAGCTTTTAATGTTGTTTATATGTCTATGGGGTGTTTTTAAAGGAGTAGTTCACTTTAAAAAAAAACTTTTGCTGATAATTTACTCACCCCCTTGTCGTCCAAGATGTCCATGTCTTTCTTTATTCAGTCGGAAAGAAATTAAGGTTTTTGATGAAAACATTCCAGCATTTTTCTCAATATAATGGACTTCAATGGGGTCTAAATGAGAGTTTCAGTGCAGCTTCAAAGGGCTTTAAACGACACCAGACGATGAATAAGGGTCTTACCTAGCGAAACGATCGCTCATTTAAAAAATAAATAACAAATTTTAAGTTTTATAAGCTCAAACCTTGCTCTGTTAGGGTTAGGGTGTGATGCGCGTTCGTGAACGAATCTTTTCCCGAGTAAACTCGTTAATTTCGTTCGTGGAATGAACCAAATGACTCGGGGGAAAAAAGATTTGTTCATTTTGATAAACGAGTTTAAACAGGAGAGTCACGAACGTGCATCACAGAACAGAGCAAGGCGAGCATTTGAGCTTATAAAACTTAAACTTTGTTATTTACTTTTTGAAATGAGCGATCGTTTCGCTAGATAAGACCCTTATTCTTCGTCTGGTGTCGGTTAAAGCCCTTTGAAGCTGCACTGAAACTCTCATTTGGACCCCATTGAAGTCCATTATATTGAGAAAAATGCTGGAATGTTTTCATCAAAAACCTTCATTTCTTTTCGACTGAAGAAAGAAAAACATGGACATCTTGGATGACACGGGGGCGAGTAAATTATCAGCAAAAGTTTTTTTAAAAGTGAACTACTCCTTTAATGTGCTTTAACACACACCATGTGTAAGTTCATAAGTCGACAGCATTGTTGAGTATTTTTTCTCCTTAAAACTGCAATGAACCAAAGACGGTCTCAAAAACATGGAAATCGCAGGTGTTTCTGACAACGCAAATGACCAATCAGATCAACCAGTAGTGGATCTCTGAGCTGAGCGAGTGAGTGGAGGCGGGGCTCATTTGCATATTCACAGAACCGCACATACTAAATTAGGCACGTGTGTCGAGTTACATTCAAGCTATTTTAAGACATGAAAAAATCCGTTTTCAAATAAAAAAAACGTTTTGGTGATTAAAGATGAGTTTTAAGGGATACAATTATTGACTACAGGCCAGGGGGACTTTAAAATGTGTCGTTAGATGTAGTTCATGGCTAGATAGTACACTGTAAAATAAAAAGTGAAATTATGGCCATTCAAAGGTAGAAACATTTTGCAAGCAGCATATGAATCGTAAATATTTCAGTGTATTATAGATGTTTTGCCAAATCCATCCAATCAAATTTCTAAAAAATCTTTGTAGTCTGGCTTCTTCCAAACCTGTGTGGATGCCCATCAATGTCACACTCCTTTAATATTCATAAACTGCATTAACATACACTCATCGTCCCAGTCGGGAACATTACAGGCTCTTTAAATGCATAGAGGAGCAGAGGTGGGATTAGCTTTGGGAAGCACTGGGAAGATAATGCCTGCTTTCTCTTTCTCAGACAAAGTATCCTGCACTTGATCCGCCAGCCGTCACGGACGAGAGGTCAACGGAGGTCAGCGGCCTTTTCCCAAACCAGGAAATTAAAGTAAGTGATTAGGAAGCAGGAAGGAGAGACCAGAGCAAATGAATGATGGATGTGAAAAGAAAAAGAGCAAGAGAGAGGAGCATAACTCTATTTAGATATTATTTGAAACATTTTTCATTACAGTAAAATATCAATTTATACACACTTTATTTTGTTTATTTTTAAAGTAAACATAGAAAGATACAATAATAATATTTATATATTTTTGATCTATTTAATTTTAATTATTATTATTATTATATGCAGTAATTCCAGTGAGGATTTTTTATTTTTTGCACAAAAATCTTTAGATCCAATTTGATGATTTGAAACCTCTCCTGTAACTTTAATGATCATTGTGGCATACTATTATTGAAGTGTGTATTGTTCAAATGCTCTTTAAACAGTAGTAGCATGATTGATTGTGTTGAGTTTTCAGTATTTAGCTACTTTATCCCGAGATCGGGTAGAAATACTTATGTTCACCTTGACACATGCTTGTTTTAAAAAAGCGGGTCGGGATGAAAAAGATAAAGCAGGTTTGCGATTCCTCCCGGACATCAAAGGTGTGCAGACGCTTCAGTGTGTCCCGGCACAAACACACACGGCCTGAATATCTGATCAGACGCAGTAGCATCAGGCTCTTAGTATTCAGTGCAGAGAGAAACCTGTCTGTCCAAACCTTGGCTGGAAGCTTGCGCAGTTAAACCAGAGCATCCATGATCCATACACTGATCATCCACACACTGATCATCCACACGCTGATCATCCATACACTGATCATCCACACACTGATCATCCACACGCTGATCATCCACACACTGATCATCCACACACTGATCATCCACACGCTGATCATCCACACACTGATCATCCACACACTGATCATCCACACACTGATCATCCACACACTGATCATCCACACGCTGCGCTGCTGAAAGCAGAGATGCAGGATTGAGGAACTGGAAACAAGCTTGATGAAAAAGGGAAGAGTGTGTTTTCTGTTTTCCTGCTGGGTAATCCTCTCTCTCTCACACTATTGGCACGGGTCAATCGAAGCAACATCATTCAGCATTTTGCATTGAGGAATGGAAGTTTATTTTTAATTCACCTTTTTAATTTTTGACATTGACACACAGTAACTATCTGCTTATTTATACTGTAAAGTAGAATTGCAAAATATACATTGTTGTATTTGATGTAGTGAACTATTTAATGTTAAAGAATTATGTCCAAACTTTGATATGTGTTTCTTGAATTGATTCAACGCAATCCAATGTAAAGCAGTATGAGTATTTATTTTATCCATCCATCCTGAGTCTTTATAATAATTATTTATGTTAATTATTTAATTTATTTTATCCATAAATCCAACCGTCCGTCCGTTTGTCTGTTCGTCCATCCATCCATCCATCCACCCATCGAATCCATCAACCGATAAATCCGTCCATCCATCCATCCATCCACCCATTGAATCCATCAACCGATAAATCCGTCCATCCATCCATCCATCCATCCACCCATTGAATCCATCAACCGATAAATCCGTCCATCCATCCATCATCCACCCATTGAATCCATCAATCGATAAATCCGTCCATCCATCCATCATCCACCCATTGAATCCATCAATCGATAAATCCGTCCATCCATCCATCCATCCACCCATCCACCCATTGAATCCATCAACCGATAAATCCGTCCATCCATCCATCCACCCATTGAATCCATCAATCGATAAATCCGTCCATCCGTCCATCCATCCACCCATTGAATCCATCAACCGATAAATCCGTCCATCCATCCATCCATCCATCCATCCATCCACCCATTGAATCCATCAACCGATAAATCCGTCCATCCATCCATCCATCCATCCATCCACCCATTGAATCCATCAACCGATAAATCCGTCCATCCATCCATCCATCCATCCACCCATTGAATCCATCAACCGATAAATCCGTCCATCCGTCCATCCATCCACCCATTGAATCCATCAACCGATAAATCCGTCCATCCATCCATCCATCCATCCACCCATTGAATCCATCAACCGATAAATCCGTCCATCCATCCATCCATCCATCCATCCATCCACCCATCCATCCATTGAATCCATCAACCGATAAATCCGTCCATCCATCCATCCACCCATCCACCCATTGAATCCATCAACCGATAAATCCGTCCATCCATCCATCCATCCACCCATTGAATCCATCAACCGATAAATCCGTCCATCCATCCATCCATCCATCCACCCATTGAATCCATCAACCGATAAATCCGTCCATCCATCCATCCACCCATTGAATCCATCAATCGATAAATCCGTCCATCCGTCCATCCATCCACCCATTGAATCCATCAACCGATAAATCCGTCCATCCATCCATCCATCCATCCACCCATTGAATCCATCAACCGATAAATCCGTCCATCCATCCATCCATCCATCCATCCATCCACCCATCCATCCATTGAATCCATCAACCGATAAATCCGTCCATCCATCCATCCATCCATCCATCCATCCACCCATCCACCCATTGAATCCATCAACCGATAAATCCGTCCATCCATCCATCCATCCATCCACCCATCCACCCATTGAATCCATCAACCGATAAATCCGTCCATCCATCCATCCATCCATCCACCCATTGAATCCATCAACCGATAAATCTGTCCGTCCATCCATCCATCCATCCACCCATTGAATCCATCAACCGATAAATCCGTCCATCCATCCATCCATCCATCCATCCACCCATCCACCCATTGAATCCATCAACCGATAAATCCATCCATCCATCCATCCATCCACCCATCCACCCATTGAATCCATCAACCGATAAATCCGTCCATCCATCCATCCATCCATCCATCCACCCATTGAATCCATCAACCGATAAATCCGTCCATCCATCCATCCATCCATCCACCCATCCACCCATTGAATCCATCAACCGATAAATCCGTCCATCCATCCATCCATCCATCCATCCACCCATTGAATCCATCAACCGATAAATCCGTCCATCCATCCATCCATCCACCCATTGAATCCATCAACCGATAAATCCGTCCATCCATCCATCCATCCATCCATCCACCCATCCACCCATTGAATCCATCAACCGATAAATCCATCCATCCATCCATCCATCCACCCACCCACCCATTGAATCCATCAACCGATAAATCCGTCCATCCATCCATCCATCCATCCATTGAATCCATCCATCCATCCATCCGTCCGTCCGTCCGTGCATAATTAAAATATAACTAGGACATTTCTTAGTGAGATTCACCCATAAAGTCTTTTCTGCTTTTTCTGGCTTCATCTATAAAAATGTTACATGTAAGCCAGAACAGGCAGACAAGTCTTTTATATATATATAAAAAAATTTGATGCAAATCCAGTGTCCAGTTCTTCCTCAGAAACACTCACAGTAACCGTCCAGGAACTTGTAAACATGCCTTTGGTTTCCTGACAGACTGATAAAAACCTGCGCATCCTCATTCACGGAAACTGCATAAAACCAGATTCTGCAAGCCCTTGTCCTGTGTGTGTGTGTGTGTGCGTCATTCTGTCCACAGCTGATCCACGAGAGTGTGTGATACTGACACTAGCACTGACTAACGCCACACACACACACTATCTTCATTTCAAATCTGCCACCATTCATTTCAGTCTTTCGTCCTTTTCTTTTCCTCACTTTGTACATGCCTTTTACCTTCAGAGCATCATAATTGAATAACATTTCCATCGTATACACTGTATATATATATTTTTTATCATTTGTGCTTTTCATAAATGTCTTCAGTGATGTTGGTGTTTGTTTGGCCTTCACTAAATCAGCTTTTTTAATGTCTCAGGTTCATCTCCCCCGAGCGCTCAAGCACGTAATGAACCTAATAACCGTGAAATGAAGTTTTGTGATCTACTGAGAGGAGGCAAGTTTCTGTGAGTAAATCCTTGTCTCATTCAGTCTGCACTTTTTCTGTTGAAGAAAAATGACACGAGACAGTAAGTTTTAACAGCAGAGACGGGATTCGGCACCGCGTAAATGTTCAATTATCATTGTTTTCATGATTGCACTTAGTCCATTCAGAGCATGAACAAAACTAATTGGCTGTGGATTTGGTTTCAACTATGACGTTATTTGTAATGGGCTTTTTGTTAGACTCAATGATATAATTGCCTCCTTGTGCTGATAAGCTGATAGCGCTCCAGAAGCAGACTAATCCACGCGCAGACTGCGTTCAGAAAGCTGCGTCGCTCTATTAGCGGTTTAATAAATCATTCAAACGCATTTATTTTAGGTGCAAGACTCCCTGGTTTACACTGCAAAACATCATGCAGATTTATGCATTAAATAAATGCATTCACAAAACCCCAACATTTATTTACATTTTTTTATTTTATTAATCTGCCCTGATTGAATTGAATTTGTTGCATTTAAACCAATTCTTTGTTTAATCTGAAATTAGACAGGCCCATGACAACACACCTGCCAATTAACTTAAGAATTTATATTCTATGCTGTGCAATGCAGTGTATCCAACAGGTAATAACAGGTTAATTTATTTTATTTATGCAATGCAACTATATACATCTTTTATGCGACATTTACGAACGGGTAAATCAGAAATTGGATCATTTTTGGCTTCCCATACGGGTCATAATTACATAAAACAGCCAATCTGATTGGTGTGTAATTTGACATGCCACTGTAAAAAAAAAATATATTGTTGGTTTAACGTAAAGTAAGTAACCTGGGTTGCCTCAAAACTTTAAGTTGATTGAACTGGAAAAAGTGAGTTAATACAATGAAGGAGATTAATTTAATCATCAGAAACTCAAAATAATAAGTTATCTCAACTAAATAAATTATTATAAAGTTGATTTGACAAAAGAAAATATGTTGTGATAACAAATCTTGAAAATATTTTTTACAGTTCAGGTGCGTCATGTGGTGTGACAATGGCCCAAATAATCAGATGATGTCCGATACGATGCGTGCCAGATATCGACAGTGTTGCGTTTTATGCTGTAAGGACACGCGACGTGAACTGTGATGTGTGGTCGGGGCTCGTGCCGTTTGGCAGGGCTTCAGTTCGCCCTCTGGTCTTCACCAGCCAAACTCTACAGCTCCATCTGCCCTTTAAAGCATGACCTCATCGGCACGGCACTCGCGGTGTGTAATCATCATTACAGGCGCAGTCTTACCACACGCTCCAAATATGCTTCTTAAAAACCTAATATTGGACGGCTTAGAAATCTGTCGCTTTGATTGGTTTCTCTGGAGAGACGGTCCTGGATTCCTCAGGCGGGGGGGGGGGGGCGACACCAACCCATGTGACACAACTCCATCTATTAACCCTCTGATGGTCTTCGGGGTCTACTGGACCCCAAATGACTTTTGCTTGAATTAAAATTTTTTTCTCTTTTTTCAAATGGTATGAAACTTCCTACGGCTCTCAACACTGTCTAGATCTGCAAAAAACGTTATCTGTTTTTATGTTTTTAATAGTCACACTCGTGGTCTTCGGGGTCCATTGGACCCCAAAAAATAACATTTAATTTAGTAACAGAACTATAGTGTTTGTTTTTTTTTTTTTTACAAATATTATTTTACTTTTTATTAATGTTTTTATTCAACATTTGTGCAGTTTTTGGAGGATTTATGATATATTTTAAATGTCTGTAAATAAATTAATATTTATTTATCATTGGACTCAAAATAGACAAAATTCATCATCAAAATCAGAAATAACGCAGAACACAGACAGAAATGTGTTGTAAAAATCCTATTTAAATAAATATTTATTTATTTATTTATTTATAGAAATAAATAAAAAAATCATAAATCCTCCAAAAACTACACAGATGTTGAGTAAAAACATTAATAAACAGAGTAAAATTATATTTTTAAAAAAAAATTATTCTGTTACAAAATTAAATCTTATTTTCTGGTGTCCAATAGACCCCGAAGACCAAAATTGTGACTTTTTTTGAAGACCATCAGAGGGTTAAAGGTCAATTCTGCAACACTAGCATCACACAGTAATAAAAATGACTAACTGGAATCAAGAAGTGTTGTTTGTTGATATTAGTGCTTATGAGAGAGAATAAGATTTAGTATTATTAAAAATAAAAGCTAAACAATAATAGATTTATATTTGTTTAATTTTTTAGTAATTGTGCAAAATATTTCTATATAGATATAATGTATTTCATTCTAGATTTTTTTTTTTGTACCTCAACTTTAAAGTATTTATTTCAGTTAGTTGCCACTGCAAGTTTGTCATCTAATAGTTTTTATTTGGTTTGATTTCAGCTGTATTTCAATTACCGAATTACCGAATAACAACTTTGGATGCCAATGATGCAATTTTATTTAACTTTTGTAACACACAGAAACGTTAAATGCAAATTCGACATGCATGAAATGTCATTGTGTGTGTGATGCTTATGGGCCACTAACAGTATTAACAGCATGAATAACCTGCAAATTGTCATAAATCTGGCAATGCAATTAAAGTTTCCCTCCAGTCCTGCTAAATGAATATGTTGGCGTCAGTCAGACGCACAAGTAAATGAGTTCACACAGCTCAGATGAGTCATTAAACTCAGTAATTTGCTTGTAATGCGTCTTGAATGCCGTCCGGATGCTCTTATCATGTCATCATGATGGCACATCCCATGTCATTCCTGAAAGGTTGTTGTTTTTTCCTTCACTCATTAGCATGCACTCATCGTCACTTCTGCCATTTGTCTCGTTGCACTGATGACAAACACCAACCATAGTGTGAATTATAGCAGGCGCTCAGACATTAAATCACCTTATTACATAAACAAGAGGATGAGGAGAGAGAACAGGGCAGTGTGAAGGTGAAGCTTCAAATAGATAGAAATACACTCACAGATCAATACACCGGGTGAATCTTATGAAAACAGAAATATCCTTGTAAAAACATACTTTAGCTTTTTATTGATTAAACATGACCTGGACATTTCTTTGAGGGATTCACCCAGTTTCAAACTCTTGAAGTTGAAGTTGAATTCTGCTTTTACGAGGCATGTTTGAACACAGTACTTGTATTAATTAGTAGAATTGACGATGATTATTATTATTAAATAAAACTATAGTTATAATAATAACAAACTATTAATTATTAAGTTAAAGGAGTAGAAAACTTTTGCTGATAATTTACTCGCCCCCGTGTCATCCAAGATGTCCATGTCTTTCTTTCTTCAGTCGAAAAGAAATGAAGGTTTTTGATGAAAACATTCCAGGATTTTCTCCATATAATGGACTTCAATGGGGACCAAACGGTTCAAGGTCAAAAGAGATTTTCAGTGCAGCTTCAAATGTCTTTAAACGACACCAGACGATGAATAAGGGTCTTATCATGCGAAACGAGCGGCCATTTAATAAATAAAAAAACTATTTAAAAAAAAAAAACAACTCTCCTATTTGAACTCGTTCATCAAAATTAATGAATCTTTTCCCGAGTCAATTCGTTCATTTTGTTCGTTGAATCAACCAAATGACACGGAAAAAAGATTCGTTTATTTTGGTGAACGAGTTCGAACAGGAGAGTCACGAACGCGCATCACAGAGCAGAGCAAGGCGAGCATTTGAGCTTATAAAACTTAAACTTTTTTATTTATTTATTAAATGAGCGATGGTTTCGCTTGATAAGACCCTTATTCATCGTCTGGAATCGTTTAAAGCCCTTTGAAGCTGCACTGAAACTGTCTTTTGGACCTTGAACCGTTTGGTCCCCATTGAAGTCCATTATATGGAGAAAATCCTGGAATGTTTTCATCAAAAACCTTAATTTCTTTTTGACTGAAGAAAGAAAGACGTGGACATCTCGGATGACACGGGGGCGAATAAATTATCAGCAAAAGTTTTTTTTAAAGTGAACTTCTCCTTTAAGTTAAACTATTTTTATTAATATTAAAAATAACAATGTTTCAAGTTTTTTTATTTTATTGCAACTTTTTATAATATTCATTAGTCATTAGGATAGTTTATGTTTGTTAATTAAATCATATGTCAATAAAACATGCAAAAAAGGTCATTTTAATATACTTTTTATACGTTAACCCAAGTCACAAGCAAGCCGAAAAAAATTGTACAATTGTTGTGAATTAGCCTGGTAAAATTTTTACTATAAATTTTATTACTATAAATTTAGTAATAACAGAAAATTATGCAGAATTGCACAATCCTAAACCAAACCCTAATTGTAACTCTATTGTAAGCACATGTTAATTTATTACTTTGAGTAAGTACATTGTAACCGATCTGGATCATGCTAACCAGTCAAAACCCTTGGATAGTTTTATTGTAGGGACTGTGTGTTAAATCACCACACTTTAACACGGGATTCGGCACTTTTAACACTTTAATCGGGGTCCGTTTTTGTTTATGTGTGTTTGTCCAGCAATTAAACAGCCGGTTTCAGTTTCCTCTCGGTGTGTTTCTGGATGTAGCATTAAACATCTCTTTGAAGATATTTTTAGGCATGGCACACATAGGGGAGCTGGGGAGAAGGCCGAAAACCGGTGGAGAAATATGGGAAGCCAAATGAAAAGTAATCCATATTAGCTCTGGAGGATGTAGATTTCCAAGATTTAAATATGACCTAGTTTTTTAGCCGAGGCGTCAGTGAGCGTTGACGTCAGAGCGGGGCCAGAACTGACTTCACGGCGGATGACATTTCAGCTGCTTTATGTTCAAAATCTCACGGTTAATGTCCCATCTATGACGACGGAGTGCAACAGTGCCCATTCATGTCTCCCATTGGGATTTCAAAAAAGCATCTGTTATAAGCCAAGCAGCTACGCGGACAGATTTGAAGCAAAAAAGTATTTGAAAATTGGACTAAAATATAAAGGTACACTGTAAAAAATAATAGCAGATTTAACGGTAAAAATGCTACA